CAAATCAAAATGCAGGCTTATAGCATGCAGCATTCACATGATTTGAAAATGCTCGTTGCATGCACAGAACACATAAAACCAATTTGGGTTTGAAGAAAGCGGAGTTTACTCTGGGACACAGCGTTCAGTATTTGCAGATCATTGGACAGCTCAGCCTGGTACAGATCATGCCTTTTTATGGGGACATTCCAGCTCCAAAGAAAGCAAATTCTTCTGAAACACATTGTCTTAGTTAAACTTCTAATATGTTTGGGTAGTGCTAGCAGCAGCTTTATATAATACAGTCTTGTAGTGCCCAACAAAGACCAAACAAAACCCCAACCCATATTCTATGTGCTATTGAGCAACAGGAAATACAGCTAATGTGGATATTTTACTACTGTGAGATTTGCACAGCATTTTACACCTGGAATTGGGATGAATAACAAACAAGGAAGTGGATATCATCTGCATCCTCTCTTGTAGTATACCCGTGATACCTGGTGCTTGGAACCAAACCAAGTCACTTACTGAAATTCCTTTAAAATCACATTCATTTTACCTTCTGTTAAGTTTTCATTAAATTCTACACGCGTATTTCATGTCCTTTTTTTAAAATTTAATATACTACTTAACAACACTGGAAAATATCTGCAGTACACAGAATAGCACAGCACAGAACAGAAAAGAAAGTAGCAGTTTGGCTGGAAGGGACCTTTAAAGATCATTGAGCCCAACAGGCTGCCCACTTCACTTACTGTTAGAAAACTGTGCAGGTAATACTGCGGAGGTCTTGCCTCATTTCTTCGCTCTAGCATCCTGAAAAACCACTCAGTAGTGCTGGTGGGCAAGTAGTTGCCTTGTAAGTAGTTGCCTTGTAAGTAGTTGCCTTGTAAGTAGTGTCACGCGTGGCTTCTGCAAGAATATCCATGTTGTGGAGTGCTAAAGGCTTGGATCCACGTTGAGTGCCTGCCATTCTTCTGTGTGCCTTGGCACTGCTGTCCTTGCAATGCTGTGATCCGTTTGAAATGCTGAACCGCATCGTGTCTGAAAACTATTTTTTGTTATGCAAGAAGGGAGGGTTGGTATTTTGGGTTTTCCTCTTCTTACTGTTCTCCTCAGGACATTCAAATACATTCAGATACATTCTGATGTGTTTGTGATTCTGTAAGACCTTTCAAAATTTGTGTCATTTCACATGCAAGCCATCAGATGGGCAAAGTCATTTTCTGCTTGAGAATTATCAAAGCATTACTTTATTAAGAGCTGATCTCAAACTTATATATGCTTATTATTTCTAATATAGGGAACAGTGTCCAGGGTATCTTATGGAATATTAAGAGTGCCTGCCTGTTCTTCAGCTCTAACCTTGTTTTTGTGGGCCCAATTTCATTGCACTAATGTTGTGATCGGTGTGAAAAGTTGTGTGTGTTCCTTTTTCCTTTCCCATGTGCTTTCTGTTTACTCACAGAGCCTTTCAGTTTCTTAGCCACTTGTAGTTTTGAAAAGCATAGAGCACAGCTGACATACCTTCATTTTGGAATGAAGCTGTGTCTTTGTGCCACATCTTCTAGACAGGAAGGAGCATTTACCTGCACTTTGCATAGAACACTGAAGCACAGAGAGAAACTGAACTAGGAGTTATCATCCAAAGTCTGAGGATGTCTGTAAATCTCAGCTGCTGGATTCTGAAAGGCATTCACCAGGTAGAGCAGGAAGAACTGTTTTCTCAAGGCGATGGAGAACGCTTTTACTTGACTGAAGCTTAAGTGTTGGGAAAAAGTCCATGTGAAGATCCAGCACTCGAGTGAAAATGAACAGTTAATACTTGTTCTTAAATCTCTGCCTTTCTCTTCGAATTATACTTAAAGTGGAAGTGCCTTTAGGTGTCCAGAATGTAAATATTTGGCAATTGCCAAGTGCGCTGATGGGAGACTGCAGACCAAGCTCTACTCTGATTGACACTGAAAGCTTCTGTGATTGGCAGCAGCTTGTCTCTCTCAAATGTTTCTTCTGTGACTTCTGTGTCAAGAGTGAATTCTCCAAAACCTCCAGTTTCCTTAAAATTTTAACCTGCTCGCTGGGAACAAGAAAAATTTCCCTTTCCCAGTATTCTTCTTTTCTCATTGCTCTTACTGCAGGGAAGAACTGCCTGAAAAGAAGAAAAAAACAAAGCACAACAACAACAACCCCCCCCACCCCCAAAAAAAAAAAAAAAAAAAAACCAACAAAAACCACAACCTTCATTCCAGAGTCAAATTTGCAATGAGAATCTTGGAGTCTATTTTTGTCCAATACCATTTGGACAAAACTCAAGAATTTGATTTTTCCCATTGCTTTACTTTGTACTCCAGTTGACTCTGAAAGCACTGCCTGAAACGCTGAACCACAAAATTCAATTAAAACACTGGGAGTAAACAGGGAGAAGAAATCAATGAGTGGATTATTCTATCAGCTGCTGTTCCCATGATCTTTCTAATCTTATGCTGCACTACTAGAAGGGGTGTAGTGAAGCAGAGGCATCGTAAAATCAGATCAAACACTTCATGCTCTGAGCACATAGCAGAAAATTAGATCGATAGCATGAGCCCATTTTTTTTTTTGCTTGTAAGTAGCTGGACTGCTGAATCTATCCATAGTGTGGAGGCTGATCTGTTTTTTAATCCTTCTCAGTCTCACTATGAAGTTAAGCATCAGTTCTCGGAACAAACCTAAATCAGTGCAGATGCCAGGCTCCTCAGGTGTGTATTCACTGCTGCTGTATGCATCCGGTAATGAATTAAGACGTTTGGAAAAGAAATGTTGATCAAGCACGAAATTCCATCTGCATCTATTGAAAATTTCAGGCAGGAGGGAAATGTTCTAAAATTGCCATATTTACCACTTGCTCCTACCTTTGTCTGCTGTCACTTTGGGCTCCCAGCACAAAAAGACGTGGAGCAGTTTTAGACGAAAAGAGGGGGGATTTATGTTAGGTGGGAGGAGGGGATTCTCCACCATAAAGTGGTGAAGCCCTGGCACTGCTGCACAGAGCTGCTGCTGCCCCATCCCTGGCGGTGCCTGAGGCCGCGTTGGATGGGCATTGGCAACCTGAGCTGGTGAGAGGCCATCAACCCACAACAGGTCCTCTTGATATAAAGAAACCTCCTTATATAGATTGTCAGTCTTCATTTGGGAAAGGCAACGAGCAGAACGTACTTTTATTAATGTCTCATGTCACTTATTCTTTTAGATTGGTTTACTGGTGGAATACAAGTGATGTACGCTTCTGTTGATAGTCCTAAATAATGGAATGGTCAGAGCAATGCAGGAAAAAGGGGTTGCTGGTGACTTCATTCCAAAAACTCTTACCTGCGCTGTGCTGCAGAGCCACAGACTTCAAATGCCTTTGGTGATAAACAGAGGGAGACATTTCACTCTAGGAAATGAAATTCAGCGTTCCATGTTTACCTGGAAGAAGTGTTGCATCATAATAACTGTTTTCTAGTTTTGCAACACTAGCTCCAGTCCTTCATTTCCACTATAATCTTGGTCTCTTGGAAAAATAGTAGTCTCTAATTGGATTCAAGTGACAGATACCAATCAGGTGGAAGTTGATAAGTATTTGCAATATGAGACATAACGTGATATCATGATGTATTTCAACCACAGACCCGCATGTGTACTCAGAAAGTGTGGCAAGGAGAGTAGCATCATCTGTTTCCAGCAATATTTGGCATAACAGCATTGCTCAGGATAGTTTCAATGGTTTCCTGACCATTCATCATAGCAGTACATTGTCTCTCATGGGCACCTACGAGCTGCCATAAACATGTCTTCCTTTCTGAACTTCCTTCAAATATATTTATTTCTGTGGCAGAGAGAGGGACTTGGAAAATGCTCTGTGCAGAAGCCACGGGAGCTGATCTGCCACTGAGCAGGCAGGTGGCCAACTGAACGCACAGGCATACATGCAGACAGCTGAAAGGACAGATGTATCAAATCAGATTTATGAGGTCAGTTTTCCCAGCCAATAAAGCCCAGATTGCTGTCTGACCTGTTATAACCTTCCTGTGTTTAAATGAATGTGAAACAGATAATCCAGCATTTGGCGGAGACAACACTGACAGAATGCAAACATTATTTCTGTAGCCACATCAGATTGTTTTTCTACTTCAACACAAAGTGTTGGGTTGAAGATCTTTGAGGAGTTCACAGTATTTTTATACTGCTTGTGTGTGAACAAAAATTTTCTCAGTCCAAGGGAAGGGGCACAGTATACTTGTTTAGTAGCTTACTGCAGACAATAAATAGACATCTGACTATAATTCTGCAGTGGCAGATACCTTCTGAGCAGACATGTAAATTGTATCTACTCCTCAAACGCAGAAGATGAACCCATCTCACTGTGAGAAACGTGGACAAAATGCCAATTAAAGTTTCATGCTACAAGCATGGTGGGAAAGTAAATAATATCCTTCTCTGCAAATTGGAAAGGTATGGATCTGATGGGTGGAAGGTTCAATGGACAAAGCACTATCTGCAGGACCGAATCCAGAGAGTGCTGATCAATGGCTCCACGTCTGGATGGAGATCAGGGATGTGGTGTCTCCCAGGGGTCGGTGCTGGGGGCAACGTGCTTTAATATCTTCATCAGTGATGCTGACAGTGGAGTTGAATGCGCCCTCAGCAAGTGTGCAGATGACACCAAGCTGTGGGGTGTGGTTGGGATGCCACCCAGAGGGACCTGAGCAGGGTGAGCAGTGGCCCAGGAGAACCTCATGAGGTTCAGCAAATCCAGGTGGAATGCCCTGCAACTGGGTCGAGGCAGCTTCCACCAGCAATACAGGCTGGGGGTGTAAGGATGGAGCACAGCCCTGACGGAAAGAACCATGCATGATGATAACTGAACATCTGATCCTTCCATGCCATACCACTAAAATTAAATGGCAGTATTTCATTATGGTGGTGTTGTTTAGCTGCTTAAATTAAAAAGTTGCATTTCTTCCTTTTTTTTTTTTTTTTTTTCTCCAGTAAAATAAAGCATTTTTCCATTCTGTAAAATTCTTTTTCTCAGCAAATGGGTCTGAATTCTTTCAATATTGTTTTTTGAATCTTTTTTTTTTTTTTATCCTATGGGAAAAAATGCAAATTACAATATGAACGTTATATGCAGGACACTTCAAGAAGATACTGAAACTGAAAAGTAAAAATAACTTTCTGATGGGAATATATTAAATAACATTGAACATAAAGGCTCACTGGCAGTGTCAATTGCCAGCTGCAAAAACATACAGTATTAGGATGGGAAACCTACTACGAAGACGCAGGCACTTGGGAAGAGCACATTAGTAAAAATGCTATTTTTATTTAAAGGTTTGTAAGTCAAAGTTCATCTTTCAGTGTTTTTTAAAGATTAGAATTTCAATGACTTTAAAGCTCTAGGACCACACAACCCTGGGGCCGCCGTCCTCGCGGGGACCGAATGAGAAGAAATTAATTCGTTGTGCATCAAATCTTATGCATGTCTTTGGACTTCATGAGCTACTTTTGTTCTTTTGTATTTCTGTTTTTGCTTTGTATTGTTGAACTGCAGAAATAATAACAGACAGTTGGTGCCTGCAGATAGTAGTTAAGGATTGTTAAAGAAAGTAAGCCACGCTGGGAGCCTTTATAGAAGTTGAAGAGCATGGAGAGACACTCAGATTTTGAATTTCACAAAGCTGACACTGAAATGTTCACCACAGCACCTTCACAATCAAAAAGCATCACTTCCCAAAACTGCTCCTCGTCCATTTCTGTTGCATTTTATCCATGGTGGAATGGTTTTGTCTGACATCAAAAACACTTCCACAGCCCTCCTGCTGCAAGAAGGCAGGCTCAGACAAGCTGTCTCTTGCCTTCCTTTCTCATGCTGGAAGCTGTGACAGATTCTTCACCTAAACTTGTATTTTCCTTCGCCAGCTGCAAAAAATGTCTTCCAATGCTCTTCTTTGGTAGAGCCATCAGGTGGGGCTCTTGCCAGAAGGAGGAATTCTGGTCGTTTATTCTAAGAGCTTTCCGGCATTTATAGAGATGCTAAATTGAAGGCTTTCCAGCACTCACAAAAACACGTGTTTTTATTAGTAATTACAGCTGTTTGTGTGCATTTCTTGGGCTGTGCATTACAGCAGATGCTTTCAGAAGATGACGTTCTTTCCAGGTGCCATCTCAAAGTAAATTAACATTACAGGAAGCTTTTTACAGTCAGATGTGGCTCTGTATAGTTCTCCCTCTCAATAGGCAACACCTGATAAATGGTTGCACCCTATTACATAACTTCCAGTGTTTCAAATAAGTTTCCATTAACCCAGGTATCAAAATGGAGGTACCGTTTCTCCTGCTCATTTCCTCACCTATGACATTCTTAAGGACATTTCTCAGTTTAGCACTGAGTGTAACTCAGTGGGAGTGTTTGCAGAGTGAATGAGTGACATCACGTTTCTCTCAGCTAACAAACAAGCACTGCGCGTCTTATTTAAATTTAATCTTGACCCTAGGACATCAACTTCAACTTCTGTTGCCTTGGCCTGAGTTTGCCTATCCCAGATGACTGTAGATGTTACATGGATAACATTGCATTTAGCATCTTACCATATGTTTTATGTCTTTTTTGGGATACCCTGATAACCTTTTGCATGACACAGAAGTTTTGCTCCAATTGCCAAAGGCACAGAGGTCAGCCAGTCTTCATAGTAGTTTATGTTGAGAGCACCGGATCTTGTCTTTTTTTTTGGTGGAGGAAGCTCTACACAGAAGCACTGCTTAATCCTTACAGATTACTTACTTTATAGAGCTGACCTTATTCTTTTCCCTCTTCCCTACCCTTCTCTGATGCTTCATTTGCTCACATTAACAAGTTGGTTACACACTGGTGAACAGACTCGCATTGTAGCACGGAGTGGTTCATACATATGAGACTCAGTGCCTGATCGAACACCTGCCAAGTGGATTTTGGATGCTAAGGGTATTTGGTATGTGGGCAGAACTATACAAAATATTGCAGTTTTCAGACTTCAGGGTCCAGTTCTTCTTCAGGGAGATGGATGGCATGACTGTCTTTGGACTCCATGGCAAGGCAGGTTGGCTTCCAGATCACTGCAAGGCAATCTCCAGGAATTTGCCACAGCTTGTACTTATTCATGTGTCTTACACTGACTGACAACAGTGGTGTAAACTGGCATAACGAGAAAAGAAGTGATAACATTCAATCTTTTGGGGCTGTTTCTGTCCCAGAACATTTCTCATGGTGGAAAGAGCAAGTGATTAGAATGTGGTGCGTCTGCTTCACCAAGAGAAACAAAAAAGAGTTGTCTGAGCAAGCTTTAGCTAGAGGCTGAGTTTCTGGCATCTTGGAAGAGAATGGGAAGTAAATCCTGTACAGCTGGGAAAAGATTCAGTGTGAGCTTCTGTGTGAGAAGGATTTGTACTGCGAAGGAAAAAGAGCTTCTGTCCTTTATCTTTTGTGCTTGTGGTTGCAGTTATTCCATTAATTTGATGATGTAAATGCTAAGCACATGGCGAAGATGACTTCAGAAGTCTGACCTTTCAATTTTCTTATTTCCCTTCCTTCAGCTGAATGGGGGGAGGTAGTTATGGAATTGACAACAGACCCTGAGAGGACCAGATCAGAATAAGGTGACAGTGCGCAAATGTCAAACTTCAACAAATTAATCCCAGGATGGTCACCCAGATGTGTTTGCAACAGATAATCTAAATACAAACATAACGTTCTAATCTCTGCCACGGTGACTCAATAACAGATGCTAAATGGTCCACATTAACCTTAGGGCAAAGCATCAGCATCTGTTGCATAAATATTGAAGGCAATATGTTTCACACAATATTTTGAAGGATTACTTTTTTTCTTTCTCTCTTTTTTTTTTTTTACAATTACAACCACATTTCACAATACTCAACTGTCCTTTGAAATACCTAAAAGAACAGGAAGCAGTGCAAAACATGGGACAACTAAGTAAGTTAAGGACAGTAAAACTGGTGTGCAGCATTCTATGGTTTCCTTTGGATGCTGCTTTTGGGAAAAGAGAAATCTTTGATGAGAATATACCTTTGGTTCTTCAAATGTTATTAAACTGAAATATAAACACAGAATCATAGGATGGCTTGGGTTGGAACCCAAGGATCATCAAGTTCCAGCCCCCCTGCTACAGGCAGGGCCACAAACCTCCAGACCTGGTACAAGCCCAGGCTGTCCAAACAAAGTATAGAGTGGCATTTTCCTTCTGCTGAATTAAGCTGCAGTGTAAGGGATCACCTGGCACAACTTTTGACAGATTGGTGTATTTTAGATATAGAATCATAGAAAGGTTTAGGTTGAAGTGGACTTTAAATCCATATTGCATTAGCAAATTATTTCCCAGATGAGAACAAATCCCATATAGCCCTTAAAGCAGTGTAAGCTGATCCATCTCGGCAGCATTTATTTTCAGATAGTGTCATTGTTTCACTTTTATTGATTGCTTTCAAATTTTAGGCTTTACTTCTGCCAGGATGGTTAATCTGTGGGCTCAGAGGGTTAATGCCTGATAAGAAATTCTTCAAACACAGTGAAAGAAACCCAAATTTCATCAGGGGCGAGGCAGGGGACGGGGAGGATAAGGCATGACTGAACAACGTAAAACAGCAATTGAGTGCTAATTCAAATACCAAACAAAACCACAGCAGAAAGTTCTCAGACAGACTCCCAGAGGACGAGTACATAACCAAATAAGTACTAAGGAATCTTGGACATAAAGAGGTCCTATAAAAATTGGATGCTGCTGAAAATATCACCTCCCACCCAGTCCAAATAATAGGTGATGTTCTAGTGTGGTCTTTTATATTCAAGATCCTTTACATAAAGAGCCAGATTCAAAGTTTAGAAAGATGAGAGAGCAGAGCCTGGATGCCGTATTTAAAACAGCGATGTGGATAAAACTCTGTGCATCTCCTGTGCTACCATCAGCTGTAATCTTAACCCTTTTGCTTTAAAAATAATTAAGTCTCTAGAAAGACAGAGATGCAGCAGTCTTGGAAGGGCTCAGCTGTTCAGCACATAAAGCCCTGAGGCTCTGAAGTGAAATGGTTGTTACAGCAGTGAATCCTATAAGGCTCCTTAAAGACTTGGGAAAAAAAATCCAATTCCCAATGAGCTTTCAGGTATGCACAAGTTTCATTTTCACTTGGTTGGGTTTTTTTGTCTTCTAGTTCCAGGAGACTTTCAAGTAAATTTCATTTGTCCTTAGTGTGATGTCTCCATGACCTGAACTCACTCTGGTGACAGGTAATCTTTAACTGCATATCTATAAAGAAGTATAAACCATGACTGTATACAGTAGTGCATTTGGTCTTGCTAAACCATTTAATTATGAAGTTCTATAAGTGATGTAACTATGATAACTTCAGCACATTCTGCTTGACCAAATTTCCATGTTCTACATCTCTTCTGTGTAATTGAATTACAGGACTGCAGTATAGTGAGGCTGTCCAACAGTAAAAGCATTTAGTATTGCAGACAGAGCCACAGAGCAGGGAAGAAACTATCCTGTTATCTTGTTTGCTTGGAGTAAGTCACTCTGGGTTTTTTTTTTCCAGTCTGAAGTTATATCAAAATCATTCAAAATCATAGCCACATATTTCAGAAAGCACAGTTCAGTACTGAAAGGACTGTCGTGACGTGAAAGCAGAGGTCCCAATACACTGCAGGGATGGGTTTAGAAGATGGGCAACAAGGCGTGAAAAGAGAATTAGATCAGAATTGTTTAGGGTCATGAGAAACATAGCAAAGGTAATGCTGGTGTGTTTTCTACACCATGAGAAGTAGGGGGCAACAGAGCTGGTCTCAGAGTAAAGAGAAGACGACTTTCCCTTGTGACAGACAGCTCAGCGCTGAACTTCTTGCTGCAGAATGTCACAGGCATGGAAAGTTTGCAGGAGTTCAAGGGAGAACACATTCCTGGAAAGGAAATCCTGAGAGGACTGCTGCTGTCTCCTGATTTAAGAAATTCCTAAAATGCGAGTTTCTGGAGAGTGAGATAATGTTGTGGAGCCGTTCATATGATGTGTGTCCTAATCTTATGCATTTCCATGCTTATGCTTTAGTCATTATTGTAGGAAATGAGATATTTAGCTAAGCAGATGTTTGGTATGATTCACCACTTATGTTAAGGCAGTTTGTATTGGATGGAGGTTCAATATTTGCTACATTTACTTGCTGCAGTGTAAACTGGAATTTATTACAGAAGGAGATCATAGAATCATAGAATTGATCAGGTTGGAAAAGATCTTAAAGATCACCAAGTCCAACCACAACCTGCCCATCCTACCCTAACTCTAACGGCAGCTCAATCACATCCCTGAGCACCACATCCAGATGGATTTTAAACTCATCCAGGGCTGGTGACTCCACCACCTCCCTGTGCAGCCCATTCCGGTGCTTAACAACCCTTTCTGTAAAGAACTTCTTCCTGATATCCAACCTAAACCTCCCCTGGCACAACCTGAGGCCATTTCCCCTGGTCCTGTCACCAGTGAGAAGAGACCAGCCCTGCTCTACAGCAATCACCTTTCAGGTATTTGAGGTATTTATCAACTGCACCCTGTTCTGTGGTGATCCACTATTAGGAACACCCCCCCCCAAAAAAAAAAAAAACAAACAAGACTAACAAGGATTTGTTTCCAAGAAGCAATATATTATATTATATTAAACATAAGACCAAAAATTTTTGGAGAAGATAATAATGATTCCATTCACGAAATGCCATGCACATCTGAATGAATGCTTTTATTTGTCATAGTGTGTCTTCAAGATTTGATAAGTGCTGATGTTAAGCAGTTCAAACACACCTGCACATCTGCTGTGTTGATGCACGCATCACCTGCACGGCGTTTGGCACTTTTCTATACCACCACAGTACAGACAGCACCCAGACCTACAGGAAAGGCTGGCACTCTGCTGATGAGCTGGTTTGGACATTTACACTCTGCTGTGGGAAATCCTTACCAAGCAGCACACATTCTTTTAACTGACTTTCCTTTTTGGTTTCCATGCCTCAGTGGACTGATGAGGGGCTTGATGGAAGAAAAACTCTCCCTGGAGAAGATTTCTAATTTTGCTCCCTGGGTGAGCAGAAAATTTTAAAGAGCAGGCTGCAGGCTGACACTGGTGGAGGAGGGCTGGGAAAGGTCAGAGACCCCTGAATCATAGCTTTGTTTTCAGCAGCTCCGCTGGTGAAGCCCCCTAGACATTCTCCAAGGCTCTCTGTTTGAGAGACAGCTCATTTCCCCTCCTAGATTTATAAGACTGTTTAAAATTGTGACATCTTTAGGGCCCTCGAGGCCAGCATATATGGATGAAGCTGGGAAAACTGCAAACACAGAATTAAATACATTTCTATAAATGCAATGCCAGTTTTCTTCCACTAAGACTCTTGTAGTCAAGATGCTCCTACAACATAAGCATGAGCAGTTTGCACTGGAGGGCAAAATCCTTGAAACTCTGTTTCTCTAAGCTCCAAAACATTCAATTTTTACTATTTGTCCTTAAAATAATTGTTGTTTTTTTTTCACTTAAGTGACACTTTCTGTATCTTTCGTACAATAGTTGCAAATCAGCTGTCCTACTATGGAAGTGAATGTCATAGATAGCAGCAGAGGCTTCTATCTTGTTTTAAATAAGTTTATAAGTAAGTTTAAAAATGATTTCTTGAAAATCAAACCTTTCGTAGCAATGCTTTTTGTATCAAGTTGTGGAGTTTAAACAATTTTTTTTTAAATTACTGTTATAACAATTTTAGGAGGTTTTTTGTTGTTGTTGTTGTTGTTGTTGTTGTTGCTGTTGTTTTTTCACTTCATTCTAAAGCAGAAAATCTCCGTCATGGAAGTACTGTCATCTCTTTGTATACTCTATAAGTCTTTCAGGCTGCTATAATACATCTTCTAGAATGCTGAACTCTGGTTTTCTTTTACACCAAAGGCAGTAGAGGGGAACTATCAGATTCTTGCTAGGAAACAGAAAAATCTATTTTTGTTCCCCTTTCCGTTATGCACACTCAGGTGGGGTGCCTGGAATCATGCAGGATTCAGGAACCCCAGGAATTCCTTATCTGCAATGCAAGGTTAAAACACACCACGTTTACCTTAATATTCCAGTGCGTTGGGTTCTTTTACTTTGCAGAAATGTGGAAATAGATGCAATAAGCAAAGGGATGGCAGTCACACACCCAATGCTACCAGAAACAAAGAAGTTCTTACCGTGTTTCACACTGACTCTTGCCTTTTCCTCCTGAAAGGTTCATGGCATTCAGCCATTCATTTGATTTAAGAAAACTTGATGATCACATCCATGTCTCTTGGCTGCTGGTGTGACAAACAGTTACACGTGGATGTCCTTGCAGAAGGTGATTACCTTTTGCAGTCTTAACAATGGCAGTAAAATATGCCTTCCTAGGCCATTAGTCTTAGCTTAAAGCAGGAAAAGGAAGGGTAAGTGCATCTGACTGACAAAAATTCTTAGTTTATCTTCTTCAAACTTGACAGAAGTCTTACTTGGCACTTGCGAGGCATGTATCATAAATAAGTGATTTATTTTTCATATACATATTTAAGTGCTAAGTTACACTGCTTTTCTTAAGGCATCGTATCAAATTCTATTATTCCTCCTAATATTGTGGGTCTCTTGAAATCTGAACTCAGGCCTTGTTTCAGATTTTTCTTCACTTCCTGCTCACACAGTTCATCATGTGAGTGAAGTTTTTCCATATCTCGACTATTTCCTAGAAATAGTTCCTTTCCTTTGTACCATATTAGTACTGGCACACCAGTCACACAGATGGATTCTATCTGCTCTCATCTGCAATGAAATTAGTACCGAGTTCTTCATCTAAACCACTCCAGCATGCAATGTAATTCTTTTATATCCATATTGATTTTTTAATTATGAAGATCAAAGGTATGAGTCAACCAACAAATAATTTTCAGTCTTCTTTGCATCTCAGTGTTTTTATGTACTTGGACTTCAATTGACCAGAAGACCGTAGCTTTGCACTTGGAAATTGTTTGATTTGACAGGTTCTGTATTTGCGACATCAAAATATGTTGCTATGGAAAATGTTACAAGTTCTAATTAAAAATGCAGAGGTCACAAGTTTCCCAGAACCAGTAGGGCGTAGATCTTAGGAAAAAAGAATCACAACATAAAAAATCCAGAGATATGTCAGTCTGCAATTTTCCAGATCCGAAAGGAGTGCAGCAAGTGTTCAGAAAAAATACATGAGACTGGAATTTTGATCAAGTTCCCTTGCACTCATTCATATGCTGTGTGTACACCTTTCCACTGGCACAAATTGCCTTCGCAAATCACACGCAGAGCTCTGAAATGTCCTCATACAAATTAGAGGAGAGTTAGTAATTTCATGTAAATTAGTAGAAAGTAGACCTGCGTGGTGGTTCTTTCAAATCAAATGCCAGCACTGAAATACCTTCCACGTAACATCCAAGCATTCTGCCACCTACACGCATCCATCGCTTCCTTTGAAGGTTGGTCCATGTTCACTTATGACTCACTGATTCTCCTTCTCTTCATTACCTCTTTATTTGTTCAACTGTTTCTGCATTCCCCCTTCATACATTTTTCTTTGTAAACAATCCTTGTGACTTTCTGTTCCTTTTGCTCCAGTTCAGCCAAACCACAAGAACCAATGGTACAAGTGCAGGCCTGAGGCAGTAATATCTGAGCTGGAACATCTGTAAGATGTACCCACAAACTGTTCCAATCAGAACCTAAGAGTACCTCAGCTGCAATGAATTCATCCATGCTCAGTGCCATGCTGTTAGGAACACACCTGTTTTGGAGATTTTGGCCTTGCATAACACAAGACTTTTCCATTTTCACTCAAAATACATTCTGTTTCTTATCTTTTTATGGCGTTGGAATTCTCAGTGCTTTCTTTATTCTTTCTTCTTTTTATTGTTTTTCCAAAGCAGTGACGTGTCGTTACTACAGCACAGGACCAAGTCAGCTTCAGTTTCCTCCTGGGACAGAATCCTGTGCTATGCAGGTTGCAAGCTTGCAGTCCGATGGCTCCTCAAACCCACCTTTTGGGTTTCCTCACCCACACGCTTTTCTAGATAATAAAAAACAAATATCACTTACCTGAGTTTGCCATAATACAAATGCATGTGAGCACTGTATCACAACTGCTGGGAAGCAGCTGAGCAGCAGCAGGTCTCATTGTGTTAAACCTTCATCTTCTCGTATCAACTGAGATTCACCTGGCCCACAGAGAATCATTCTCTTGACTGAACTGCAATCAGAAGTGGGTAAGCAGACAATTGTTTTTATGTACATTTTGTTAAACCAGATGTGAATTTTGCAGAACATTTCAGTTATGTGCTGAAGATTTCACAAAGGTACAGCATGAGACTTCATGAGGTAGCCTTACCATAGTATGGATGTACACGTAATCTTTCCTTCTTTTCCTTTTTAACGATCTTTTCGGCGTTTCTGCAAGAATTCAATACTTGGTTTGTTGCCAGAGTTAACATGTGGGTGACTAACATGGCTGTGGCCTCAGGCCACAACCCTTAAACTGAGAAGATAGAAGGTCAAGTGGAATACGAGAGCATGAAATGGACTTTGTTGTTAGTATAGGCATTTTTTTCATAACTGCAGAAACTGGCATTGGGATGATGAATTTCAAAGCCTTTCTGCATCATTTCAGTATAATAGAAAATACCATAATTGATACATCAACAGTAGAGCCCCTCTCCCCTCCCCAGCACTACTTTTTCCGTTTAAAACTACCATGGCTAATTAGGACAAGGACTGGATGCCTTCATGAACTCTTAAAATGCCGATCTACAGTTTTACGAAAGTAGGAAATGTCATTCATCTGTATTTAATTAAACTTTTTAAAGTCTATGAACAGAGCTCATTACCACGAAAAATTCTAGGCAGCTGCCTTAAAGCAGTTTCTACAGTTACTTCCTTCTTTCTCTGTTAATAAGGAAAGAATTTCTCAGATAGCTACAGGATAAATTTGGGATCAAGATCCAAATTATTTTGTTTTTTTATTGAACTGAAGCACTGCCAGATCTTAACCTCCTTAGTAAGAGGAGAGACTGGATTCAGATGGCAGTTTAAAGGGCAGCCATGCTCCTTAGAAGGTACAAACCTTCTGCCTTACTCATTTCTACACTGATAATTTACTTGATCCTTGTTAAAATGTAGACTAATTAGGCTAATCATTTAAAATGTCCTCCTGCTTAATATGCTATTAGAGACTTTAAATAATACTTTCCTCCTTTTTCTGTACAGATAGTACACATCTTTTTTCTATCATAAAGCAACAGAAAGTTACAGTCATTTTACATGAGCTCAGTATTTCCATTTTCCTATGTTAATTGTGGATATACTTTTATTGCTGCCTGCCTTTCCTCTTAATTGATGCTTTTAAAAATAAGGCACATACTGTGAAAAGGCATTATCTTTAAGGGACGTATTATATCATACCAGCCACTATGAAGAATTAACTCTATCCCAGCCCAAACCAGAACAGTTGCAGTACTTCCTAGGAGAATCAGTGCCAGCTCTCAGCACCACATATACTGAGGGTTGTTGTTTCTTATGCAACAGCTAGAAAAACGTCTGGGGCTTTGCCTAGAAGTTGACAGACAAATTTAAATAGTCCCTGTAAATATTTTGGATGTAGAAATTAAAACCAAAGGGAAGTTTACTTATTATGTTTGCTATATAAAGGAAGTTACTTGCTATGTGTCCTATAAAATACAACAGTTTCTTGCAAGGCTTAGCAATGAGCTCACATCTACCCATTATGCACTGCACACACGTATGTGAAAACAATTTGGGCATAATAATCAGCATTTCCTGCACCATGGCTCAGTGTCCTTTTAAACAGCTTAGTTCTTGCTCTTTCAGGTTTTGGTAGCACTTTGGTTCACAACAAAGGGCAAAGTTCTTGATGAATTAAAATGAGGGCTACACTGTTTGGTCACTGTAACCAACAGGCACAGCTGATCACCAGGTGACAGTTCTACGTTCAGAAACATTTGGATCAGTATCTTCCAAATGTTCATCCCAGTTGTCACAAAGAAAGAAAAACGGCGTTGTCTTCTGTTGTCTGACACCTGGCTGCTTTTTGGGGTTTTTTTGAGTCATCCATTGATTTCCAGCAGGGAATCATCAGGCCGATGAAACTGTACAACAGTCACTTTTGTACTCTAGAACATACAGCTCAACCTGTTTAGGTAGCAACAAATAATTTGTACTAAGCAAAAGCCCTAATGCATGGTAAGGTAGTATTTATTTTCTTCAGAAATTGCAATAAATTTGAATTTGCATCAATTTCCATCCCCTTATAAGAAGATTATTTGCTTTCTTACTTCTTAGGCGTATGGGCTGTTTTAATTTCATTAACAAAAATGACATTCTTCTAGCTCTGTGTCTAAACTGACAAATCCAAATTCTGAATCTTGAGGGGGTGGAGATCAAGAATAATTTCAAACTAGAGCTGGATGTCGTACAACGCAGCGGTCAGAATCTTCCTGTTTGAGTTCCGGGTTTTAGTTTCGTCAGTCAGAGGAACTCTGTGTGGAATTACTCACAATCACCAATGGCTCCAATACTTCAGAAAGTTATTCTGGGAACTTTTCTTCTAGGTGGGTTATCAGACATGGATGGAGTCTCTTTAGAACAGAGCTAGCATTAAGTAATTAACTAATAGCTGATCTCATGCTTTTGGTAATAAGGAACTAGATTATTAAAAATGGGCAGGTAGATAGGAGATGGAGAGTGAAGAAGTTTGTTTAGCTTCATCATTAGAACTGGTGCTGGCTACGACCAAATTAATATAACATCTTTCCCACTGTTAAGACTTTATGTTGCAAATCTTTAAAACGCATCTGTCATGTTCTCTTTAAAATAAAGGAAATAAAAGCAGATTTTTTTTAAAGAACTGTACAGCCTGGATACATTTTCCATTTTTCAGATAACATGCATGTCCCATGGAAGGCAAACTACAGAGTAGCTCTGGTCCTTTTCTAAATGTTAGGTTTTGGATATTTATTTTTTCTCACATGTTCTTCTCTTGGACACTGCATGCAGTAATAATGGGCAGACCATCTTAACAGCAAAGCTTCAGAACAACTAATGTTGTATTATGATCAGAGGCATAAGAAAGAGACTGTTAAGTCAGTGAACATGGGGAAGATAAAGGGGGAACGACTATTTCTCTTACTTTTGCAATGCAAGAAATGCAAGCTCCCATCTAAATCAACTAGTAGATGATTAAAACAAGGAAATGGAAGTATAAAATGTATTCCATTGACAGAGGGTACTGTGAAAGGTAACAGCTGAGACAAAGAAGGGTCAGGACAGTTCTTGATGTATTAGGATAGTGTGTTCTTGAGCACAGGTCACAAAAGAGAAAAAGCTCCATGGTTCTGTGACTGCATTATTCTCTGCAAGTCGTGCTGCCCATTCATGCCAGAGAAGAATTCAGTCCAGTGTTGGTGTGGTTTTGGTTGTATTTTTTCAAATAACATGGAGCAGAATGAGATGAGTGAGCTCTTCCTCCTGTTAACATCAACTTCATAATAGAACACTATATAAATCTCATAAATGGCTGGTCAAATAAGTGCTGACTGTTGGAGTCCCCCAAAATCTCTGCACCTACTTTGACAAATTGTGCTCCTTCATCCGACTCTGAAATTGCAACTTAGAAGAGATGCAGCACTTTCTAATTTGAGGTCCTTCATTTTCAGTTTGGCCATACGATGTGTCGTCTCACCAGACCGTGGTGGGACAGCTGGTTTGCAGTGAACTCGAAGATCAAGATAATTACAGCGTCTGCAATTTGTCCAATTCACTTTCTCTAATTTCCTGTTTGCTGGTGCTCAAAACAACAAGTGCATTCCGTCATGAAAGGAATGAGCCTACTGACAGGGAATGAGATGGAGTGGAAAGCAGCTGTGCTGCTGTTACAAACAAACTTTGTTCCAAAAACTCATTGATTACATGTACCAGAGCAGTGATACCATGTGCAAAAGAAGAGCAGCTCCGTACTTCCATAAACTAAGGATGCAACAGAACATGTCCCTCTGCTGCTCTGAATTCTCTCATTCAGGCTATCAAACTGTAGCCTTAGGGATGCTTAGCAAAAGGGAGCTTGTACAAAGTAGGCAGGTTTTCACCTTATTTCCAAAACCACTGAGTTTGAAGTTCAAAATCAAATAACTTTCTATTTATTAGCAACATACAGTGAGCCAGTGTTTAAAAATGGCATCTGGCTGTAGTCACTGCCTGTGCCCCAAACCATATTTTCAGCTGACAGTGAGCCATGATGCTCACTGATGGGAGGTGACCCATTTTTCTCTGCGCATTCAGTTTGACTTTCTCTCCTTCATGCTGATTCAGCCATCTGGTAACTGTATTACAGTGAGTTTCCTGATGTGAGATGTACGTATCCAGGGGCAGAGGACATTGCCATGACTCTTTGGAAGTTTCAGACTGATTATGGAGTGCCAAGGGCTTGTTTTTCCCTCGCATTCAGAAGCACTGCCCATGCTGCCAAATCAAAGTGAAGTTAGGGCAGCTGCCTCTGCAGGTACATTTGTTTTTAATCACAGTTTCTACTGTACTCAGGTCAAGGGACTCAAAGTGAAAAGGAAATGATCACAGGAAAACAGAGGTAAGATAGTAAGTTAGTTAATATCTCATCATTTACCCCAGTGCAGGATCTGTTTATTCCTGTGTCACTTCTGCATTTAAAAACAAATCAGTAACACTAGCACAGTGTGTGATAATGAAAAGAGAGCATGAGGAAGCATGATGCTTAGATGTCCTTTTCTACAGGTGAATGAAGGAAAAGGCACTTCTAGGTACAGAGGTCTTTCAGAAGTACCTAATTAGCCAAAGTTACTCTAATTTAATAGCTTGTACCAATGCTCTGTAAGCAAAACATGCAGCAAACAACTCACTCTTCTCCCTTGATCCATGTAGTCCAGTCTTGTCTCCTCTCATCTAAGACACCTCTTTCTCACATTTCTTCCACACTCCAGTAAAAAGCATCTGAAATGCAAAGAAACATCAAGAAAGATTTCATATCAGGTTTGGTTTGCTCTGAAACTCTCTTTCATGCAAGGGAGAACACAAAGAAATACCACTGGCAATGCACTTGACAATAATGTGGCAAGAAGTCCTACATTTACTTATAGTGCTACAGAATACACCAAATCCTTTAAAAACTTCAAAATGCAACAGGAGTGTAAGCAAAGAGTTTCAGATACCTGTCTGTATCATCAGAGATAGGAGAACTGAAGAAGCTTCCTAAGAATTCATTCATCCTGATCACTTTGCCTCAGGCTCACTGAATCACAGGTTAATTTATGAAGCCTTTTTTTTTTTTTCCATGCCAGAACCACCTTTTGTAATTAATTCCAGATGCAGTAATTAATTCTAGATGTAACTCTGGAAATATCCAGAAGCAGAAGTGTGGCCTATTCACAAACAGCTCTCATTTTCCATTGAAAGCTGTGATGATCTAGAGAATCAATCTTACACAGTATCTAACCTAATTAATTCTATGATGCGGATTCTGTAGTTTGAGGGCCACGTCACAGCTGGTTTGGAGCAGAAAGAAGTGGTTAATTTACAACTATTACTTCTACAGCTGGGAGAACTGTTCTGTACCAATCTCACCAGAGCTTCGCATGGAAAACGTCCTCAGTGCAGAACAGTGAAATGAAGCTGTCAACACTGACCTTTAGGAACTAAAAAACTTCTGTGCCTCAGAGTGCCTCAAGAGTGTTTCTGTATGATGGACACTTGGATGCAGCCAGTGGCATCTGGATGTGTCACAACTGTGTATTTACTTTGTAATTACGGATAGAGTAGCGACTTCGGATTGGCACAGACATTTGTGTACAGCCTGCAGAAAAGTTACTATGGGCAGCGTTCAGAAAAGTGCTCTTACACCGCTATTCAATGAGACTTGCATGCCTGCAAAATGTCACATTATCTTCCTGATTCCTTTTCGCCTTCTGAATGAGGCACTCTCCCCATTAGCTTCAATGAAGGCTTTGTTTTTGTCTTCAACACTCGGAACAAACTTTCTGGCCAGCAGAACGAAAATCGCTAACACAAAGGATATTTTTCTTCTCTAATTGCCATAAGACTGGGAATATTGCTTGCTGTCAGACTGAGCTGAGAGCCTATTGAAAAAGACTGGATAAACTGACAAGCTTTTTCTCCATAGGCCCTGAAGTGTGTGTCCCACCAGTAATGCTTTTGAAAAGATTATTTGGATACTGTGTGCCAGATCTGAGGCCTTATCTCTTGGAAACTGAGCTCTGTCAGGGAAGAGGACCGTCTTAACGCTGTCATATTTAGCATTATAACCTATCATACTGATATCCTATATGGCCTTATGTGTTCAGAGATCAAGATCTAATAGGGAAGTGCTAAACTCCCTGTCCCTGGAGTTCAGACTCGGCAGAAAAACACACAAGGGAATTATCCTATGGGGGCTCCCTGCAAACATCCCTCAAAAGCAGATTTTAATAAGAAAATAACATGGATAACTGTTCCTAGAGCCTATACTGATGTGCTGAGATGTCTAATTGTCTGCAGATATGGTCCACGTTGATAATAATGACCACTTGAAGAGGTTTCTTCTACTAACTTTGAGGCACTAGGGATTCAGCCTCAAAGAAGCCTGCGTCTTTTGATGGTGAATAATCAGCTATGAGAATACTGCCTGAAATTAATTTGTGGAGTAATACGTGGTCACTTCAGGAGGAAAAAAAAAGGTAAAAGACAAAGGTTGTATGGTCATTTGATGGATCTGTTATAAGATGCGGGAACACACTGCACAGGATTGCATCCACGCGGGTTTTGGGTATCCCCAGGCAAGGCGCAACCTGCTTCACTCTTCTGCCCTCCTCATGACAAAGAGCAGCACCGCATTGTTCTAAGCGCTCTGCGCCACAAGCCCGCAAATCTCTATGATATTTGGTCCTCCAGGCGGTAACACGCATGCGCACGGAAGCAGCCTCTGTTTCCTCCAGCCGCTCTGCGCTGCGAGTCCGCCGACGTCCTTGGTCCCTGGTCCTCCAGAACGTACAACGCACGCCCCGTGCTGCGTACAAGTGACACAAACCTCCCACCTACAGCCACCCGCGTTACTCTCTCATCACTTCTGCTCCCGCCTTGCTTCGGCCGCTTCCACAACAGAACCAACCACAGAAAAACGAAGCAGCCCCCACAGCCGCCAACAGCGCCAAGGACCCGAACCACCCCCCACTCCCTCACACCACACTCCCCGAAAGCCCCCAATCGCGGATCCTGATCATAAGCCACATACTCTGAAGGCAGGGCGAGAATTCCTAAGCCCATCAGCAGTTCCCAGTCCACGTCCCCCATTTATCCCGCACTTCCTCTCACACTTGCACCCTCCACGTGCCCGAGCGAATCCATAAACTCACTCTTTTACCTCACCACTACCTCCGCGCGCCCACTGATTGGCTCAGCGCATCCGTAATTTACATATAACCGCTCTGCGCCTCGAGTCCGCCAACTTCTATGGTGTTTGAGCCTCCAGGCAGTAAAACGCATGTGCACAGAAAGCCGGAAGTGATTTGCCTAAATTCTAGCTGCTCTGCGCAGAGAAACCGCTACTCTATGGTGATTGATCCTCCGGCAGTAGTGCGCGTGCGCCAAAGCAAGCGGTGCTTGCATGGATTTACGCTCACGCTCAGACCGGGGGAGGAGCCAGCCCCTATCGCCACGTCCGATTGGCTCAGCGCCGGGGCTGACTGACAGGTGCCCGCCACAGTTCCGCGCATGCGCACTGGCTCTAAGGAGCTCCCCGTTGCCTCGTATTGACTGCAATTTGGTACTGGAGGCGCTGCTGCGGGCTGAGGCTCTCGCTTAGAGCGTGGATGGCAGAACTGTGCAGTGGGCTGAGTGCAACCTGGAGAACCCTGGGGGTCTCTGGGAGTAATCTCTAAGTGAATTTGTTGTGGCAAAACAAAAGAGGCATCACTGCTGCAGGAAGCTTCATATGTTGGATTAAAACACTGAGATTCGTTCTATACAATGCACTTTAGGGTGTGCTTGAGTCCACTGGGGTGTCTTTGGAAGCCTCTAGAGCACAATGCGAGACTTCTACATCATCCTAGTGGACACTGAGGAGCTCTGGGAGTACCGCAGAGTTCCTCAGATTATGCTGGGGGCATTTTGGAGGCATCTAGGGCACACGGAGGAGCTCTGGAAGCACACAAACGTTTCTCTGAGCACATAGGGTGGCTCCTGGGAGGCCTGTAGGATGCTCTGAGAAGCATCTAGAGCAGCACGAAGCACAGTGAGAAACCCTGGGAGAACTCACTGGACATCTCCAGGAATCCAGCAGGACAAGGGGAAATGATTTTAAGTTAAGGGAGGGAAGATTTAGGTTGGATGTCGTGGGGAAGTTCTTTACAGAGAGAGTGGTGAGGTGCTGGAACAGCTGCCCAGAGAGGTTGTGGATGCCCCATCCCTGGAGGCATTTGAGGCCAGGTTGGATGGGATCCTGGGCAGCCTGGGCTGGTATTAAATGTGGAGGTTGGTGGCGCTGCGTGTGGCAGGGGGTTGGAGATTCATGATCCTTGAGGTCACTTCCAACCCGGGCCATCCTGTGAATCTTCCGCGGTGCCTGGAACACACCGGGGACTCCTGCTCAGGGCAGTGCCTGCAGTACCCACCGGCGTCCAGCAGGTGGAAGCAGAGAGCCGTGGCGCTGTCGGGAGGCGCGAGAGCCGCTCGGCGGCATTTCCAGCAGCGCCCCGGAACTCAGCTTTGTTGCCCGGCTGCTGGTTGCCCAAACAAGCAGCGACAACGTATACACACAAATGTCTATCTGCTACTTAGCGTGCCACAACATCGAGCTTCCAGAGCTTGTTACTGCGCTGTAGAGCGCCCTGCAGGGTGCCCGTCCTTCTCTCGCCTTTCCCTCACTTTCCCCAGGTGCTCTCCAAGCTTTGCTTTATTATTCCCATTACCTTCCTCCACATTGCTCAGAAATTCCACTTTCTTGATGAATATCAAATCCTAAAGCACTGCCATTCTATTAGAGTTATCCGGCTGGGTTGTATTGCATTTTGCATCTCACTCTAGGGCACCAGAACATAGAAGCAGATTGTGAGGTCTGATTTGGGGAAGGCAATTCTCTTGGTGGGGGCAGCATGGAGGGGCCAGAGCCCCAACCACAATAACCCCAACCCTAATAAAGCCCCGACCCCAAAAACAGTACTAATCATCAGCCTAACAACCCTGAAGATAGCTGTAATAACCTCACAAAGCTTCTAACTCTAATTCTAATTCTTACCCCTAAACCCAGCACTAAAATTTTCTCTGATATTAATAACGTGGCGAAGGCTGGCAAAGCTGAACAGAACCCAAAGGGATCTCAGCAAACCCCAGCACAGAGCAGCGAACCCAAATCCATTTGAAACTACTGGAGAGAAAAGGGAAATCCCTTCCTTACAGTGAAAGAGGCAGATCTCTAGAGAAGAGGAAGCAGATAGGGAGCAGCCGTCAAGCGTCCCATAAATCAGCAGGACATTATAAACACTGCCATGCACTGCAGTTAGGAAACATCCAACAATACTTCAGACTGTCAGTACCACCAGGAAATAAGACAAACAGCAGCCCAGCCTGGCTCTCCCTCATTCCAGGATAAGTTTCTACAAAGCCTGACTGATGCTCTATGGCACTTCCACCTCTTTGCACTGCTCACTGACTTTAAAGCTCCTGGGAGGGTCGGGCAGAGTCAAAACCACAGAACCAAGCAGCCTTCCCCCAGCACACCCAGCATTTCCAGGGTTTGCTTCCAGCCTCTCATGGTTTATTTTGCACGTACACCTCACAGGAACCCAGGGTACGTGATAAGCTGCAGCCAACTGCAAAACCACAGCTGATGAGGCTCTCTGCAGAAACCAGCATCATGCTATTTCAGAGTTTCGTTCCTCTGGCTGGCACTAAACGTTAACAAACAAACTCAAAGCAGTAGCACGCTACACATTTGTGGTTTAATTCCTCTTCTCCTTGTGTGGATGGCAGCGTTTATGACTTTTTAAGCAGTTGATGAAGTGTTTCATCAACAAAATGCACCATTGCAAACTCCAATGGAGGCTGTCCTCAGAAATCCACCCACACTCATCTTTTCCGTTCTCTGGTCAGAACGCATCCAGCTCAGGTTTCCAGTAGATGCTTTCATGGGTACAGAAGAGTAATCTGGGCACATTGATGCCATGGCAGCACTTTCTATTAGTCACAGAATTGTGAAAGTTGGAAAAGAGCTCTAAGGACGTGAAGTCCAACCATCAGCCCATCCCCACCGCGCTGCTTATTGCCCTTCCTTCGGTGAGGTGCTCAGGGTGCAGTTATCACTCCTTGCAGCACAGCAACACGTCACAGAGAGGCTGCTCCCAAAAGCCATGGAAAAAGAGAAAAAAAAAAAGGCTGATTTGAAGTTTACCTCAACCCCATTCTGCTGAGCCTCCCTTCCTGCACCAATAGGCACCGACCTGCACAGAGCCCTGAGCTGTGCCAGCCCCTCGAAGGACAGCAACTGGACAAAGCCCCTCAGCACCAAATATGCCAGATGTGGAAACAACACAGAGCCCAGCCTGGAGGAAGAGAGATTTGTAAGTAAATGCCAGCAGTGCCCAGAAATGAGCTGAGCTGTTGGACAGGAAGGCTGATGGGTACAACCACTCGTGCCCTAGAAAATATAAACCCAATACAAAACCGTGATGGCCAATTAAGTCTCAACCGCAGCTGTCACGTTGTAACAGCACAGACGTGGACAAGGTTGGCCATCAGGTCTCAACTCTGCCTGGACGCCAACAGCAGGTCAGGCTATGGGATGCAGGCGGCGCATCTCACCCCATCCACACTGTGTGATGGAACTGAATGGCGTATCTCCACTTGTAACCCAAAGCCACTTTCGGCGTTACTGTCACCTTTACGCCACAACCCGCCTCACAGGCGCTGCCTTCCTGCCTACAAGTCCTGCCCCTCCCCAGCTGCCATATTGGGCGCGGCAGAACCGGAAGGCAAGAGGGAGACGCCATCTTGGTTGCTCGATTTGTCAGGGGAGGGAGACGCCATCTTGGGAGTGGCAGACTAGGAACGGGGGCAGCCATTTTGAGTGAGACATAGCGGGTGGGAGGCGCCATCTTGAGTGTGGCAGAACCCTTTCCTCCCCACTCCTCCATTCCCTTCAAGTTTAAACGAGACAAAGCAAGTTGGAAGTTTTTATCTGAGGAAATCTCTATCTGCACAGCTCTGAGCACCCACTGGGCGGGCGCTGTGCAGCCACAGCCCAGCTCCCACACACCCACAGCCCTCCCTGGCTTTTATAGCCACGCATTGTGTCCCCATCATGCTGGCGAGCCACACACAGCCATCCTCCCCTCCATCCATGGAAGCCTCCAACTGCTCCTCACTGCTCACCTGGAGGAGGAGGAAAAGAGGAGAGAAATGAGAGGTTTCCCAGGGGAGGGCAGCCCACCCAGCAGCAGGTCGCACCTGCCCAGCACCGCCTGCACCGATCTCCTCAGGGCTGCGTTGCTGCCATCCAGAGCTGCTGCCAGACGGCTGCGGTGGGACGGGCTGAGCTGCGGGGAGAACAGATGTGGAGCTGCAGAACAGGTTGAAGGGAGCCATGAAGGGTCGGTGGCTGCAAGGCTGCACTCACCTGGCTGCTGTACGTGGTCAGCACAGCCATCACCAGCTTGGCGTAGCTCAGCGATGTGGCAAAGGCTGGAGCCTGCTGGCACAGGGTGAGCACCAGGAGGTCAAAGAGCTCGGAGGGCAGCGGCTCCTGCAAGAGAGCGGGGAGCACTGCAGGCCTTCAGCCCGGCGCTGCTGGAGCTGCACACGATGCAGCCTCACCTGCCTGCCCAGCACCGCCAGCACCACCGGCAGCAGCTTCTCGGTCAGAGGGACTGCCAGCACCTGGCTGCAAAACACAGGAGATGTCTGTGCTGCTCACACGGCCTCGCTGGCTGCACGCTCTGCAGCTCGTCGTCTCTCACCCCAACACCATTCTCACGTAGTCAGGCTCCAAGCACTCCTCTACAAGGTCACACACCAGCTTGATCTGCTCTGCACCTGCAGGGGTAAAGCTGAGGCTGCCAAACCCATGTGGGTGTGCTGACCCTTCCTGCTGCCCCTTTCTGGATGGCCCAGTCAGGACACCCAGAAATCAAGTGGTGCCTCCTTCTGCTGTTTGGAGAACTCAGCATCCTTCATTCAGCTGCAAAAGCTGAACCGCCAACAGCTCCCAGCAGTGGGGGATGCTGCCCTGCTGAGGGCATTAAAGTTGGAAAAGATCTCTAAGATCAAGTCCAACCATCACTAAACCATGTCCCCAAGTACCACATCTCCGCATCTGTGCAGAGCAATGCTTCCCTTGGGCAGTTTCAGCACAGCTTTAGGAACTTTCAGGAACCCCCAAGTCCATGAGGGATTGCAGCCCTCCCCCAAGAAGGCTGATGCTGGAAGCCAGTGTCATCTCCCTCCCTGTCAATACCAGGCATCCTTACACTCCTCCCCCATCCCAGCTTAACTTGCTCAGATTCTACCAGCACTGTGGTTCCTAACACACATTTAGGGTGATAAATGCCCTCAAAAAGACAGCACCCCGCAGTCAGAGCTTTCCCATAGCTCTCCTTTCACACCCCTCCCTTCAGGGCAGCCCAGCACACCTTGCCCTGGCTCCTGCAGGATGGAAGCCACCAGAACCTGACAGAAGGGCTCTGAATACTTGGAGCAGAATGAGGTGAGAGCAGCCATGAGGTGGCGGGAGGGCAGCTGTGTGAGGGACAGGACCTATGAGCAGAAAAGGCAGAAGTGAGGATGCAGAGAAGGAAACAGGGCACACTCAGGCTGGAAGAGCTCTGCTCTGCACACTTACTCGTGTGAGGAAGAGCTGCTCAGCCAGAACAGCTGCGCTGGCATAGCTGAGGTCGGGTGTGAGAGCCAGCAACCAGCTGCAGAACTGCACCAAGAGCTGCTCTGGGCACGTGGAGAGCTGGAGGAAGGAGCACAGCCCCTCGAGCTGGGGACAGCAGAAAGGACAGGGCTGTCAGGGGCAGCAGCAGCACTGCCAGCTGTGAGGATACCAGTTCTCACCTGGCTTGGAGAGCAGCTGTTGAGGATGTGCAGCTCAGGTGGGATGCTCAGCTCTGTGCGCTGCAGGGAAACACCGTCCTTGGCTAATGCACCAAACAAACCAAGCCACAAAATGTTGCTCTAGGGCTTTTCTCCTCCCTACTACCTCCCGGCCTGATCCACATGCTGTAGAGGAGGTGACACAGCTGGCCTGTTGTCTCCTGCCAGTCACCCTACAAAACCCATCTCCTCTCCCACTCCCTTCTGGAGGCCCTGGGATGAGCCCATTTAGCCCACCTGCACCAAGGATGAAGGCAAAACAACCACTTACATTGGCTTCTTGCAGCAGCAGCATTTTCAGCCTTGGTCCATGCATCTAGGGAAAGTGAGGTGAAAGAAAGTCAGACTCTGAAAGTTCACCAGCTGAAAGAGGGGAGCAAAACCTTCAGGTGGGGAGCTGTTGGTCAGTTTGCTTCCTGATTTCTACGATAAGCACTTTGAGAAGCAGCATCCTCAAGAGTCATAAATCCCAAACTAGAGTCTCTCAGGTGCCCATGCCATACACACAGCAGCAGACTGAAGGACCCAGGAGACTTTTTCCACAGCAGGGAAGCTGCAGAGGTGTCCCCAGGAGACACAGGGATGCTGCAAAAACAGCACCCACCACCTTGCCACAAGGCAGGGAAGGCTTGGCAAAGGGAATACAGACAGATAGCATGGAGGAGGATTGAAACCCAGAGAAAGCTGAAGCCCTCCCCAGTACCTGGATAAAGGACTGGACCTCCGCTGCAACCTCCAGCCTCAAAATCCTCCTGGGCTCCTTGTCTGCATCCTGCTGGGGGCTTTCCAAGGCAGCCCCAGCCGGGCTCTGTGCGGATCCATTCCCCAGTGTCTCCCCAGGCACCTCTTCTCCCACCCCAGCTGTGCCATCCAGCCCTCCCGGCAGCTCAAACACCGCATCCTCCAGCAGTGGCCTCTTCTCCTCCCTCTCCTCACTCAGCTCCAGGCTTTCCTCCAGCGCCTTCTTGCGCTTCCCCCCTGGATGCACAGAACCAGCCGCATCCCCATCCTGTTTGGGGAAGCACCACTTCAGCTTCCTCCTCCCCTCCGCTTTGCTCTGGGCAATTTTCTGGCACAGACACTTGAGCTTCTGCTGGCAGGAAGCTGTCAGGGCAGGCGGAGGTGGGGAGGAACGCTCCTCTCCCCGCAGCAGCAGCACCCCCAGTGCGTGCACCCAGGGGTCCGGCTGGGGGTCCTGCCCTGCAGCATGCAGCAGCTGGTGGAGGCAGTCTGTGGGCACCATCGCTGCTACTGCATGCAGCAGGGAGAAGAGGTTCCTCTGGCACAAGATGGGGAGCAGCAGCAGCCGTGGTTTGCTGGAAAAGGGGAGAAAAAGAAGAGGCTGCATCACTGCAAAGCACTCCAGAACTCTTACGTGCCTTCCTGAGCTGCGGAGAGAGGTGCAATAGCGGGAGGGCGTTGGAGAGAACAGCAAACACCTCCAGTGGGTTTTGCAGAAAAGCAGCGGGACCGTTATCCACAGCGTTACACACGGACCACTGCACCGGGCGCACAGGAATTGGGAACCTGATGAACCCGACCCCCCACTGAGCCCCGAGTTTTGGGATCGCAGCTGACTCACACAGCCAGGGCTCCATCCGGCCCGTCCAGTGTGGGCTCCTCCGCACACAGCGCGCCCACAAAGCTCCGCCAGGGGAACGCGTGTCCCGGTCCTTCCTGGGCCTGCAGCCGCTGCAGCGCACGGAGAGCAGCCAGCGTCCCAGCGGGGCCGGAGGAGAGAGCGTGCAGCAGCAGGCGGCACGGCTTGGCAAGCAGCTGCAGCCAGGGAAGCTCCATCTGCCCGCAGGGAAACAGGGAGCGGAGCAGCGCCTGCAGCGACCCGCTGGATGCTCCCAGAGCCCCGCAGCTCTGGGTGTGTGGGGGGCAGGGTTATGGGGAGGACCCCCAGGAAGGCCGCGTTACCCGGCCGAGGCTCACGGCAGCGCTATGGGGCAGCGCTATGGGGCACCTCCACACGCCGCTCTCCGGCGGCAGCCGCAGCTCCAGGCGGAGCGCAGAGCGCTGCTCCCCTCCCTGCCCATCCGCGCTGGGGGCGAGGAGGCGCTCGGAGCCACGCGCGCCACTTCCGCACCCGGCGCGGCAAAAAAAAAACCAAAAGCGCGCGCTGTATGCAAATGATCCCACGTGCCGAGTGCAAAGGAGCCCTTAAAGGCGAACGCGCCGAGCCGCTCGGACGGGAGGGCTGAAGGCAGCGTCTGCGCTGTGTTTTATTTCGTCGTTCCTAGATTTCGCTAAAAACAGTTTAAAAACCGCGCCCCAGGGCAGCCCGGCTCCCCGTTCCTCTCAGCACTCTGTGCCTTAAAACCTCCCTCCCTATCCCGGCTCCTGCAGTCTCCCAGAGGTGCAACAGGAGGGGCTGAACCCCGTTGCCCCACACTCCCCACCTCATCACCCGGCTCCACGGGCTCCAGCCAGGCTCGCAGCAGCCGGACTGTCCCATTCCCCACCCCACAGCTATCCTCCCTCCCCCCATACCAAAGCCAGGAGCAGCTCAAAGCATTAAAAGTGGATTATTCTGTTCCCAGAAGATGCTTCCTTGAAGCCAAGAGCACCCAGCGAATACCCAGGGTTCAGTCTGAATCACTGATGTCCTCAAAGAGCATCCCATGGCTATAACTTGTGTACAGCAACTCCAGCTCCAGCAGAGCGCTGGTGACAGCCCATTCAAGCAGGTAGAATTCATCTTCTTCCTCATCAGAGCTTTCCAAGGGAGAAGGGCTGCGCTCCTGTGGCACAGGACAGATGGTGAGCCCGGCCCCACGGTGCCCCTACCCCAAATGATGCATTGCCCCACTCACTGCACGCATCCTCAGGCGCTGCCGGCTGTGCCGCAGTGCTGTTCGCCCAATGGGCAGCTCGTGCAGGTAGATGCAGTCAGAGCCAAAAGGGCAGCGGCCGTGGTTCCGGGTGAAGAATTTGCACCTGATTTGCCTGCAGGGTTCAAACAGCAGCTGTGAGCACTGCTGGAGCGCTGCAGAGCCCGCGGTGCTGTGCACTCACCCTGTCCGTGCCTTGAAGCTTTCGATGAGCTGCTGCTTCTCGTCTCCATCTGAGAGCCAGAACTTGTGGGGGATGTAGTAGGTGGAGGTGAGCCGGCACTCTGGGCAGGCTCTGAGTGAGTGTAATAGAACCATTAAGGTTGGAAGACCTCTGAGATCCTTAAGTCCAACCCCACCCCCACAGACCGCATCCCTCAGTGCCACGTCTTGAACCCCTCCAGGTGACACCACCACTCCTGGGTATCCCCAATTCCTGACCATCTTCCTGGTAAGATTTTTTTCCTAATAGCCAACCTGAGATGGGTCCTAAAAAGGGAGCAGCCCTGGCAGAGCTTAGTACCCACGTGGGAGCACCCAGCATCCTCATCCCATCCCCATCACAGCTCCCACTCTCAAGGAAAGGCTTCAGGGCACGGAGCAGTGGGGGCAGTGACCCCATCCCTTCACTGCCCGTGTGTCCCTACGACACTCACTTGCTGACCGTGTTTGGAAAGTCCCGGCTGCGTCTCCACGTGCGGATGCAACCCAGACAGAAAGCGTGGCTGCAGTTGGGGAGGATCCCAAAGAGCCGCTCCTCCGGCAGTGCCTTCTCGTAGACCCGCTCCATGCAAATGCCGCACACCACAGCCTCGCTGCGTGCCCTCAGATCTGTGATGGATACCGGAGCTGCGGCAGCACCGAGCTCTATGGGATCCTACAAACCGAACAGCACAGCACTGCAGCCCGTGGCTTCACACCAGAGGGTCAAGCGGGGTGACAGGGGCTGCACAGCCTTGAGACTGAACCCACCTCCGAGCACTGAGCCCACGCCGTCTGCACTGCTTTGCTGGGGGCTGGGGAACTGGGATCTGATCTCAGCCCCTTCAGGTGGGAGCCTGAGCACAGAGGAGCTGTTACAAAAGCACATCCCACCCCACCGTCGGTTCCACCTGCCCGCAAAATACAGGCTCAGCACTCAGGTGCCCCCATCCCTTACAAAGAGAGCAGGAGAGTTTCCCACAGCCCCAGCATGGCTTTGTTTTGGGGGGGGAAAGATGTGGGACAAGGGCAGACACGTGCAGGGTGCTCCACCGCCACCCGCAGCCCCGCTGGTCCTGGGGCAGCCCGGCACCCACCTGCGGCACTCCGAGCTCTCGCAGAGCCGAATCCTCCACGGACAGCACATCCGGGGGGGTCACCGCGTGCCGGGATGTTCTCAGTGCCATCCTCTTCCTCCGCCCGTGGCAGTCCGAAGGCTGCCCGCGTTGTGCTGGCAGCAGAGCTGTGCCCCGCTCCCCCCCGGCTCCGGACCACCGCCCCCTGCTCTGACCCCCCCCGGCGGGGGTGCACCGGGCTGCGGCCGTTCACTGCGGGCAGCGGCTGCTCCGGGTCGTGCTGGGAGCTGGAGGAGCGCGGGGACACACAGAGGAGACACGAAGAGGAGTCACCCCCCCGCTGCCAGTCCCGCCCCCCGACCCGTCCCCATTCATTCATTCACTCACTCTCCCGGAGCGCGGTGCCGGCCCGGGGGAACCTTCGTGCCGTGCGAGAATCGGCAGCGCTGCCCAAACCTGCACGAACCGCGGGCAAAATTCCTGCGGAAAGGGAGAAACTCCATGGCCAGGGGGCGGCCCCAAAAAGCAGGGATAGAGCATCACCCCCCAGCAGTGGCTTTTAAGGATGCGACCACGTTTTGTCCCCAGCGGAGCTTCCGACTCAGCTTTATCTCCCCGCTAATTGCGAGGCAAACGAAGCCCGAGGCTGGGCTGGAGGGGGGGACCTGAACTGCACAACCCTGAGGTACCCCCCCAGCTCCTCATAGGGGGCAGAAGGCAGCAGGGACTCCTCAACGCGGGGCACCCACCCTGGACCCCCAGCTCGGAGGGGCCGCCGGGCGCTTTCCTCTTCAACCCAACACTCTCCGGGGGAAACGCTGGGGGGGAGTGGGGGAAATGGGAATTCTAGAGACACGACGCTGCCCTTCAATGGGGCTCTACTCAAAGCCCGTTCTCCCCCACAGCCTTTCCAGCAGCCCCCCTCCCCAAGCCCTACCTGCACAGGGGTCTCACAGAGGACCCCCGGCCCCGTTGTGCCCCCGGTGCCACCAGTGAGCTCGGCTCCATTTCCTCCAGCAGTATGGAGGGTGAGAGGTACCTCTGGGGCTTTTATGACCCTGGTGGGGTGGGCACACCCTCACCTTAATTGTGTTAACCCTTGCCCTGCTTTTCCTCATGCTGGTGGGAGGTGTGGGGAAGCTCTCTATCCCCAAATTGCCATAAATCAGGTATGGGAAATGCAAAGGGATGTGGTGTGACTTCCCCTGGAGCACCTGAGCAGGTTCACTCTGCTGGTTCACTTTAGATCTGGGGCAGGGAGCACTTAAATGAAGCTGAGACCACATCACTGACAACACGCTCCCACTGCCTTTTGGTCCAGTTGGAAATGCAGAATGCAGGCAGGAATAGAAATGCATCCCATGCCCTGCGCTGGAAACAACCTGAGTGCTCAATCCTGCACAGAAGGGCTGGGTGCTAAAAGGTGCTTAAATATTTAGTTCAGATTTATTTAAAGTCATCAGTTTGCAGACACTATTTATATTATTAAAAACACCTGGAGGTTTGTACTTCTAGCAAAAATATACATTTCAGTTTGAGGGTTGTTACACTGAAGGAAAGAGCAAAAAGTTCCCCAGGTGACCAACGCAGGGGTCCATGTGCCCTGGGGGTGCCACCGAGCTTTGGGGGCCAGCGGGGGCTTTGGGGACAGACCCCCATGCTGGGAGCAGCACACACCTCTGGTGCCTTCCCCAGAGGACTTCAAAGTGCTTTAGAAACGGTAACTCCTTAACAGCCCTGCAAGGTACGGCTGGGAGGTGAGGGTGGGGAAACTGAGGCACAGTGAGGAGGCAGAGGGCAGCAGCAGGTGTGGGATTGCCAGCCCAGCAGCATGGAGGGGAAGGCCAGAACCCAAAGCTGTCCCCAAGCTCAGGGTCTGGGTGGAACAGGGCAGGGGAAGCATCCCTCCCCCTTATGAATACTTGGTGCTTATACTGTGTTTTACAGCTGCAAAGCTCTTTGCAACCAGTACACTGATTGATTTTCATTCTCCCCTTCTGAGCAAAGGGCAGCCTGGCTCCCTTTCCTGGAGGGGGAAACTGAGGCACAGCCTTAAGCAGAGGGGCGAAGGCCACGCACACTTTGGTGGCAGCAACACCAGGTTGGGGTGCAGCGATCTCCTGCGCTCCCCAGTGCTGCTGTTCCTCCGTCAGGGCTGCTCTGCTGGTGCCGTGGATCACCAGATCTCTTCTGCAGAACCTTCCAGCCCGCGATGTGCTCCCTCCCCACAGCCCCACAAACACCCTGTCAGCACCCTGGGCTCTGTGGGCTGACCGTGACTTTCCCCATGCTGGTGTTGCTGAAGGCTTTGCTTGCTCTGGTGCTTGCAGGGAGCTTGCACAGCCATCTCATCCCAAACCTGCCCTGCGCAGACCTTTCTGGAACTCCTATCTGCACAGAACTGCCTGGGGAAGCAAAAGGATCACGGGCCTCAGCTCTGAAGGTGTATTCTTGAGTCAACCCCTTCCCTCCCCTCTTTGACACAGAGGTGCTAAGGGACAGGTTCCTCTGAAGTGGAGGCACTGGGAGCACAGAGAGGGGGGCTGCAGCCAAGGCTCTTTGCTAGGACAGCCATACACATCTTCAAATACGCCAGCTTTTCCTTGGGGAAGAGAAATACTTCCTTTTGTGCCACTGTCCTAAACTCCACAGCTCAGGACTACATCTTCAGAGTGCAATATGACAGACACACCCCAAGTGCTGCTGCTGCCCACGGGGAAACCACACCATGCTGGGGGCTCTCAACAACCACAGCAGCCCCCACTAGCCCCAAGCTGCTGCAGGAATCCCCTGTCCATGCCATGCAAACCACCCGGCTGCTCTGGAGGCCCCACAGTAATGGAAACAGTAGCTTATGATTTGCCTTAGTAAATTCATTAGTGTGTCAATGGAAGTCCCAAGCTACCAGGAGGTGACTGCAAAACCTTCCGGCGCCTTGCCCTATGTACCGTACATTGGAGTCGTGTAGAAAAGAGTTTCCAGTAGAAGAAATGGAAGACATGGGGAAAGGTTTTCTTTGTTTTTGTACAAAGAGTCTCGCTTGGAATCCATGGCTTCATTCTCATAAATAAGAGGTCCTTAGTACATGTCCTTGTAGATCTCCTGCAGGAGAGGGTGCAGGGAGGTCTCTGTCTCTGTCTTCTTGATCTTCTGCACCAGCTGGGCGTGCTCTGTCACCAGCTGCCGCAGGTCAGCCATCTTCTGCAGCAGCTTGGGGAAGAGGTACTGGGCGTCCGGGTGGTTGGACTGCAGGTGGAACTCCAGCGCTCGGAGGATGTTGTCTTGGATCTCCTCCACCTGCTTCACGTTCATCAGGCCGGGACGGTCTGTGGGGAGGAAGCATGGTAGGTGGTGTTATGTGGAGGCATGGAGATGGAGAGTGGAACCCACCCATAGTGACTCCAATCTGGTCAACCAAGAAAAGGGGGAAACTGCATGCCCTCAGATTGCACGTCCTAGAGCAGCTGATGAGAAAGGGATGGTACTTGGTCCAATTTTGGGAGTCAGAACTGTTCAGTTCTTCTCTCACCCCTCTAAGACTTGCAACCTATGGCATGGGGGTTAAACCAGATGAAACTTAAAGATCTCTTCCAACATAAACCATTCTATGATACTATGATAAGGCACCCATGCCTGATCTCTGCCAGCAAAGGCCCTGCTGAAGCACTGGGTTAGCTGCAGCCCGGCCCCTCCAGTCCCCATATCCCTGGGGGATTCTGTATCTGCTCACCTCCGCACAGGATAATGGCAGCCACAAACAGAGACAGGTCACTGTCATCCAGCTCCAGTGCGTTGAACTTCACAGCAAACTCAAACTTGGGCTCCATGATCTCGTTGAAGGGCTTGCGCAAGCTACGCAGGAACTCACGGGTCACGAAGCCATTCCCGTTGGCCACCAGCAGCCCATCCTTGTTCATGATAGAGGCCAGCATGGCAAAGATGGCCTCGTGCACCCCATACTTCAGCAGAGTCACTTGGTCATTCAAGTAGAGGCCTATGAAGCTGGGGATGCTCTTGGCGAACTCGGTGAGCTCCCGCACAGTTTCTACAGTGGTGCACTGGCAGCGATAGAAGACGTGCACACCAATCTCCTTGTAGGGGGGGATCCCATTCACCAGCTGTTTCCAGACCAGCCCCTTTTCTGCTTGCCACAGGGTGTCCATGTCATGGATCACAAAAGGCTGCTTGAAAAAGAAGAGAGTGGTCAGGAACCTGCTGCACTCATGCTCTGCCCAGGACACTCGCCTCTGCCTGTCCATTTGCTGCTCTCTCCTGCTGCTGCTAAGGGAGCACTGGCAAACGGCACCCACACACACGTGCACAAGTCTGAGGAGAGGTGGGAATTTTCCCAGCATGTGCAAGACATGTAACGACCACGTAGCAGGGAACTGGTGCACGTGCAGTAGTTACAGCAGGAGGAAGACGAGCCCAGAGAACAGCCCCCCCCACGGGCTGCAGCCAGCCCTGCCTGCCACTGGAGAGAACTTACTGGGGTGCTGCTGGCCTTCCCGGTCAAGATACCTCTTGCTTTCTTTTTGGTCATGTTGAAGTTTTTCAGGTAGGCGTGGTAGATGTGCTTGGAGAAAGCTTTCAGGTCGGCCACCTGGGGGTTCTGGCAGCTGATCTCACTTGCCGTCAGCCCAGCTACCAGCTTCCTCTTCTCTGCCTCCGGCATGCGGCCAAAGCGGATCGCTGCGAGGAGCAAAACCAGAGAATCAGACAACATAGCCTCCCATCTCCACTCATATGGGCTTTACCACAAGCCCTGCTTCCCACATAAACACCTTGGCTGGGCCAGAAGCAAGATGGTTCCACCTGAAGTTCAAAAATCCCAGCAAGCTGTGTGCCTAGTTCCCACCGGGCCAACACAAAAGGGAGAGCCATGTGCCAGCAGCCAGCCTGCATGGCAGGATGAAAAAGCCCATTCTGGTAGGAAAGAAATGGAAGATGAGGCCCAACGCCCTGCTGGGCTTGAAAGAAGCTGATTCCTTGGCAAGAAAAGTCACAGCGTAATGCAAGCTACATATGGCCTCTCCATGTGAATCACAGAACCATGGAATGGTTGGGTTGGAAGAGAGCTTACAGCCTCCTAGTCCTACCCCTGCTGTGGGCTGGGTACCCCCACCAGCTTAGGCTGCCCATGACCCCTTCCTCGCCTCAGGCATCTCTAGGGTAGGGGCACCCAAAGCATTGAGAAGCAGTGCCAGAGCCTTGCTGCCCTCTGGGTAAAAGATTTCCTCCTAAGATCTAACCTAAATCTCCCCTCTTTTAGTTTAAAATTGTTTCCCCTTGTCCTGTCACTATCTGCCCGTGAATCCTTGGGATGAAGAATTGCTCATGGGACAGATGGCCCAGGGCACCTCACCAGCATGCCCAGGAAAACAGTGACACTCACCATTATGTGACATGCCCAACGAGAGGCATTTCTGGAAGCGGCAGTACTGGCACTTATTCCGGTTCTTCTTCTGAATCTTGCAGCTTCTCTCACACTTTTCATATTCCAGCTTCATGCGGATCGTCCGGCGGAAGAAACCCTGCACAGAGTGGGATGAGGAGCAGGGAAACAAGGGAACAGCAGCGTTAGCACCCACACTTTAGGATCAGGCCAGTTTGTTATCCACAGCAGCTTCAAGGTTCATCCTCCAGTGGGTGTTTTCAGCACAGAGCCAACAAGGAGAGGTGGTGTGGTGGGAAAAGGGGTAGAGTGGGACTGGGTGTGTGATACTGCATGCAGCCAGCAGGGAGGGATGGAGGAACAGGCTGTGGGCCCCAGCCTGCAGGGAAGTCTGGCAGGGCCTCACTGCTAATGCAGCTCCGCTGGCATCTGGTGCGGGGGAAGGAATTTTAGAGGTGCGGCCAAGCTGTGGCCGGCGATCCCAGTGGGATAAACACACAGCTCATGGCTGATCTGCAGCACAGACAGCATCTAAGCCAAGGTCCCCATTGGGGTAGAAGGATTTGCTTTACAAAATAAAGCGTAACAAGCTAAGAAGTGGGACATGTTTGTCTGACCCAGGCTGAACCCCACGCTCCCATGGGAGGACGCACCTTGCAGCCCTCGCAGGCGTGCACACCATAGTGGAAGCCCGAGGCTTTGTCTCCACAGACTCTGCACTCCACGTTCAGCGCCCCCGAGGCCGTCTCCTCACAGCCCATCTGCAGTTGGTCTGACAGGGAGGGAGAGGAGCTCTGTGAAAGGTCTGCAAACACACAACAGAATCTGTCCTTCTGAGCAGCAGCCACAAGCACAGCATTGCACCCAACCCCACCAGAATGGGGCCGATGAGGCATTTCCAGCACCGCCTCCAGAGCTGTGTTGGGTGGTTAGCCTCTGAGATTAGGCACTGACCACAGGCTGATGCCATGTATGGAGCCACAGCGCTGTCAGAAGCTAAAAGGCTCCACATCAGTTCAGAAGGATCAGAAGGACTCTAGAGCTTAACTTTCGGCAGTGAAACCTCTCCACAAGTTTTGCAGTGTAGCTAGCATAACTCATACGATCAGTTTGCACTGAGGATTTAAAGAAGCAGACAAAGAATTGTTCTCAGCACCCTGGGAGACCTCCCCTCTTCAATATGCACACTCTGGGGCTCACCCCCACCTCCTGGCTCTATTTCCATCTCCCAGCCCACTGCCACCGGCTGTGTGGTGACTGCAGAGGAAGAAATAGATCCTCCATGCTTTGGTGCTCAATGAATTACTGCATGAGACCACCAGAAGCCCAGCTCTGTTCACGTGCAGGCCCTTCTCTGTGACTGTGGGGGATGTGGCTCCACTCACCGGTGTAGCTGCTCGAGGGCAGTGAGCTGTCTGGTCCTACACTTGGGTCCGAGGCTCCGCTAGGCACTGTCACTGCCTCTTCCTCTTCCTCCTCCTCTTCCCTGACCTCAGGTACTTCCTCCTGTAGTTGTTCCATAACTGATCACCCCTCAGTGCCAGGACTGCAATCCCTGTCATAGCTCTGGCATCATCCGCATCTATCCGAGATGGACCCTGCCAGTTGCACTAGCCTGCAGGCAGAGGGAGAGGCGTGTCAGTGCCATGGGTGCAGCCCCGCCATCCTGCTTTGCTTCGTGTCCTTTCCATGGTGACAAGCAGACCCTGGGTCTCCTTAAAGGCTGCTTTGCTGGAATCGTGTGTAAAGCCCAGCAGACTGATCCCGGGACAGCAACCAGCCCACAGCCCACAACCCAGGGACCAGAGGCTGGTGCTCCCCACCCTGCAGATCCCACAGCAGAGGCACCGCCCTGGGCAACGTCCCCTGCAGCCATCAGCACCCCGTGCTGTCACAGTGGCAGCCAAGGACGGGGTTTGGCACAGCCAGGACTACCGGAAGGGTTCAGATAGCACACGCTGCAGCTGCCAGCACAGAGCTCAGCTCCACACTGTCCTCAGCCCAGCGGCTGCAGGGGGCACAAGCAGGGCTCTGGGTCTGCAAGTCCCAGCCCCACACTGGGAGAGTGACAGCTTCCTGCCAGCTCCTTCTCTCCCACTCCTTCCCGTTACAGCAGTGGTGTTTATTTTCACTCCTGTTGTAACCAGCCCCGGCTCCTCTGCCAAGAGCCATTCAGCTGAGCTTGCTGCTGCTGCTCGTACAGCTGCGGGGCTGTGCTCAGCCATGGGTCTGGCTGCACAACCCAGCCCATGTCCTAATCCGGGGTTTCCTGTGGAGGATCAGCGTGGGCCCCTTCTCCCCGGGTCTCCTCTCCCTATTTGTAGTCATCCATCCCATTCCTGCTAGGCTGGTGCTGTTCCCAGCCCTGCTCAGTGCCCACATCCCAGCCTCCAGATCTCAACCCCTGCACTGAGTCCTGCTCCAGCAATTAATGCCTGAAGCCTGTTCTACACAGAGTGCAGCTATTTCCATAAAGGAGTTACTTTAAGGTAGAGAATCCAGATGCTCTATTTCCATCAAACAAGCCACTGACATCCAGCTTTTCCCAGGACAGCCACAGTTATCAGACTCCAGTTAAACTGTTAGCATCTTCATGCACTAAAGCGTGCACCTTGCTTGCAGCGGACTTGCACAAGGGCAACCCGTGAGCAAAGAGGTGCTGGTGGCACAGGGCTCCCTGGGCTACTTCGCCCTCCTGCAGCATCCCCCCCTCCTCTGTTCCCAGTCACTGGCACTTGTGCTGCAGCCAGCTCCTTGGGAAGCTGTCAGCACTGAGCAAGGTCAGATGGGCGAGCAGCAGCCAGTGCCAAGGGGGAGGACAAAATCTGCAGAGGGGAAGCTGAATGTCAGTGTGCTGCAAAGCCAGCAGCCAGGCACCCCAAGAGCTGGTGCCAGAACATAACCTGGGTCTGCTCTCACTTCTTCCCTGCATACCAGTTCAGAGCTGTGGAAACAGCACTGTGTCAAGGAACTGGGACTGTGGTGTTACCCACAGCTCTGTCATGAGCAGCAAAGGGGCACAGGGCTTGCAGAAGTGCTGTGTTCCCTGCCTGTGCCTCCTGGGCAGCACTGAGCAACCATTCAGGGCTGTGTTGTCCTTGGCCTCCACAAGCGCAGTGGGGCACACACGCAGGCAGGAAAACCTATTTGCTGGAGATAGAGGATAACAAGCTGAATCTGTTTAAAGTCTATATATAAATAAATGCACACACATCAGGGAAATGCTTTTTGTCTGGATAGCAGTCAGTAGGGTAGGATGGTAGAAGGAGGTCTATGAAGGACCTTGCACTCCAGGGCAGCAGCAAGCTCTCCCAGACCCACCAAAGCAACTCCAAGGCTGTGCTTAGAGTTGCTGTAGCTGCAGATGGCTGTGCAAACCCCAGGGGTGTGAGAGAACAGAGGACAGGACACATCTGACAGCAACAGCAGACTCCAGCAGAGGTGTCCCATGTCAGCGAGGGCAGGACAAGGATATGTATCCCACCCACGGGGAGAGAAAAGCTTTTACCAGAAAGTTCTGAATGTATTGTTTTAATATCTTCTTGCAGGCCAAGAGCAGAGGGGAGCTGCGGGAGCTGTTTGCACACCTGCCTTTCCCTGAGCCCTTCCCCAGTTTTCCAAACAAGGGAAATAGAGAGAGGGGGGGAGGCATTAATTTCAGCCAGGCTTTCAGCAGATGAAAGGCAGCAGGGATTGTGCCCACACTGCAAGGTGCTGGGCATGGCCCCGCATTGCTGCAGGGGATGTGCAGACCCCAGACCCTCTGACTTTGGGAGTGAAGGCAGCAGCCAAACACAGAGACCTCCAAGCCCTTCTATGCTTTCAGCTGAAGGATTGAGTGTAAAGAACAAGCCAGCACTGGCTTGATTAAAATCAGTGCAACAGCTTCTTTGACTCCATTTAGTGCTGGATTCTTCTGGCACGTGCAGAGAGGACAGAGAACTATGCCAGCCTCCAGGACGCTTCATTCAGTCCCAGGCACTGGGGAGATCCCCTCCTGCCAGCCCCAACAAAGGCGTGCCTCTGAGGGCAGAAAGTGTTTGCAGAGGATCACATAGCAGCAGCCATGAGCACAAAGGGGATGTGCTGCCTACTGCAGGCCCCCTGGTTCAGAGTGGGGTGGCTGAGCTCCATCTCTCTGAGAGGACAGAGGGACAGTGGGGGACCCAAGGGGTGACACCCAGGATGGCTGTGTGGAGGGCAGAGGATGCCCAAAGGATCCTTCTCATCTCCAGGAGCTCCTTCCCCACTTGATGCCTGCAGCCCAGGCATTTTAGGGTGTGAGAAGTGCCCACTGCCCTGCAGGGTGTGCAGAAGGGCTGCAAGGGATGTGACGGAGCAGCCCAGTTCCTCATCACTGCACACAGAGACATGCATTCCAGCACAGACACTGAGGGGCTGGCAGCCACCAAATTAAAACAAAGTGCTCAAAATTAGAAGGACTTCATCTTTAAAGCAGGTGTAGTTTTGCTGAGGGTGAGCTCCAAAAAAAAAAAAAAAAGCAACCTCAGCATGCTCACTGTGATGGAGAGAACTCTCCCACCTCTATGCCCCTCACAATTGTTTCTTATTCAGACAGGGTTGGAGGCAGCTCCATGTCCAGTCCCCACTGCATGCTGCATTGTCACCACGTGTGTCTCCTCCTTGGAAGACGGAAGCTTCCAGGCAAAAGAAAGTGCCAGAAATGGCCCAGGCTTCTCGAGGGACGGCTCACAATGTCGACCTGCTCCAACAGTTGTTTGGCTTACCGTAAAGGAGGTCGCAGGGAGCCCCGAAAGGAAACCAATTCACCATGGAAGCACATTTCTGTGCTCATTTGGAGAAAAAAATTAAAACAAATTCATCCAAATGCACATCCTGTTGATTGTGCATTCAGCACTGCATGGGAGCGTTTTCTCAGATGGAGTGCACACTGAATACACACCAAAAAACCAAACTGATTTCCATTAAAGAAAACTGGTTGACTCTTATTGGCCATTATTTGTAGACATCCCTTGGATTGTGTCACCATTTCCGAACTCTGCTGATCAAGTACCAGTTTTTGTTCCTCCTCCTTCACGTCACCTATTGCTAATAAAAGCCAAATAATAGCTAAGCAGATGCTGCAACACAGGAAAGGTAACCAAGTGCAGAAAACCAGGAGACGCAACCATTGAAAACATGTTTGTTTTTTGTTCCTGAAAGATCAGCACGCCTCCTCATTAGCTAATGAGATCCCAGAAGCACTTATTACTTAAGTGTTTCCTCCCTCACTCAGAAGCCTTGGCTGCAAGGCAGGCTCCGTGCAGGAATAAACAACTGGAGCTGGCGAGGCAGAGAAAGCATCTGCCCCAACACTATGGATGTCCATTCCTTGTCCTTTCCTCCACTGCTGCTGTCTGCTTTTCACCAAGTATAACCCAGCCAGCTAAGCATCAGGTGCTGCCTGAGCTGCTATTACTGTGTTGCTGCTAATTACTCAACAACATATGACAAAGGAGTACAGGAGATTCCCCTGCTTGCCTCAAGCTGCCAGGCTTGCCAATGAATCACACATCAGCCACATGCTACAACTCATCCACTTCCTGGATACTGAGGAAGAGAAATAAGTCAAAGAGTTGTGAAACTCACTGGATTCTTCTCTTTTTGCATCACAGCTGTCCCCAGAACCAGGTCAATGCACTCCAAAAGGAACTTCCTGCTTTCTCACTAGTGCTGGGTTTTTTTGGAGGGCAGGACCTGCAGGAGGGGCTGCTCTTCCTTTTCAATTCATCTTCCAGAAGCTGCAAAGATACCTCTGGCTCCAGGGGCTCCAAGACATATCTGATGTGCTGCAAAACCTGTAGATGACACATACTGGATGAGTGTTTGTGCTTCTACAGGATCATCCCTACACAGCTCACCTGCTTTCCAGAAAGAGGCTCTCTGCCCTCTTCAGCCTTGGAGCTCCACAGCTCCCTTTTGCAAAAGGGGTGGAAGTAGGATGGGTACCAAAGAGCTGAATGCTCACCAGCTCACAGCAAATCCTGTCAACCCCCATACCTCCATTTCCTTCATCATCAAAAATAATAATAATTGAGTTCTGTAGTGCTTCCTTCCTCGTCCTTTCTTTGCTGCATTAGCTCACAGAGACGTCATGTTTTGGACCTCAATGCCAAGTGTCATTGTTTGTTCCCATGTTATGGATTTGGACACCTGTTCCCAGTCACGCTCGCAAGCCTCGCCTGCCCCAGGTCAGTACACCATGCTGCTCATTCCCATATGAAATGTTTCCAGGATTGCTTTCAGCAAGTAAACTGCCAAGTCTCACGCTGGAAACTGCCAACTGATATTTGTGTTTTGCTGTCAACTCAGGACAGCCCAGAGTGGGCAGGGGATGTGTGCGGCTGAGTGATGGGACGAGGAGCACATCCAGGAAACAAGCAGCTACCAGAAAGGTGACACCTTCTCAGTACTGGAAAGTGCACAGATGTGTCGTCATTTGAGAAGATCATTAAGTTTGGTAATGAGAGAGGACCATCCCTGCTCACACCAGGGCACAGCAGAGGTGACATGACCTGTCCTGTGATGCTGGGCAGCGCTTTGCCCGGCTGCCTGTGGGTACGTTGGCTGTGGGATGGCGTGCTGCTGTGGGCCAGCAGCTTGGCTGCAGCATGCCTATACAAGCACTGCAAAACAAGCTTGCTCCACGCTGCATGAACAGGCTGCCAGGGAAGAAGACGCTGCTGTTCTCTGGAGGCCACGTGCTGCAGGAGGACAGTGCTTTGGGCACATTGCATTGAGCTCAAACCGCTTCTAGTGCTGGGAGGGACGCAAGGCAGCTTGTGAAGCTGTCAGGACGCGCGGTATCCTGACCCCACATGCCCATCCTGCTGCCAATGTAGAGCCAGTGCCCAGCATCAGGCTTGCTTTTACATCCCTGCTTCCTCTCTGGAAGTGCCCAAGAAGCAGCCTGGGAACACTCCCCTTTACCATCCCAAAGGGAAATAAAGTCATCACTCTCTGAACCTCCACGTTCTGCTGCATTTGCTCCAAGGTGCTGGCTTTGCTTACAGAACCCTCGTCCACCGATCCACAGCAGGCCACGTGGGAGGATCTGGTTTCAAGAACACCAGTAATTATAGAACAGAGCTGACGGGAGGAGCTCGCAGGAACAGCAGTGAGGTTCCCAAGGCAAACAACAGGCACAAGCTCAGAACTGCACTTAAAGGGAAATCCAGGAAAGCAGTAAGTGCAGCAAGTTGCCTCTGCAAACTCCAGAGTCAAGGAGCACGTATCTGTGGGAGCACTGGGTGGCAGTGAGTGTGGCTGCCCTACAACAGCACTGCAATCAGAACATGGCACGGTTTCCCTCAAAGCCTCTGTGTCACTGGGACACCAGTGAGTGTCCTCACAGGGCGATCAGAACCCTGGAAAAGCAACGGGAAAACAGAGAAACACAGCAGCAGGCCACTGCTCTGAGTCACTGGAGCCAAATTTGGCAGGAGCCAAGTACCCAGCAAGACCTAAAACCAGGCAGCAGGTACTCCCAAATCCAGGAAACCAGCCACAAAAATATCATCAAACCTTTCTGCAGTGATTGAGATCCCCTGTGCTAAAGCTACCAGTCTGTAAGCTTGCTATGCTTACACTTGGACTCCCAGCAATGCACTACATATTTTGTAGACCGTAGCAAAATATCCTGAGCACTCGGCATGCAGCCCTGATCCCAGGACACAGCTGACAGTGAGCAATTATGCCCAGGCACGGGTTCAGATGATTCAGCACAGCCTGGGAACGTCCGCACCGAAGTGGTTGGAACAAATTGCCACGCTCGTTTCATCTCCCCTTCAACCACAGAAAGGGAGAGAGAGAGAGCAAATTTGACTGCATCCAGAGAGCATTAAAATAACTTTGTTGCACAAAGTAGTTCAACACCCTCTCAGAGATCTGGAGGAGAGATGTTTCCTTACTATTTTTGGCTACGCTCTGTGTAGCAAGAGCTGAGGGAGGAGCAGAAGTTTCCCTGTTTTCAACCGCGATAGGATCAGTGACCCCAGCCAAGGAGAGGATCTCAGCATGCTCCTGACTGCTTGGACTTCTGCCTCGGCTCCTAGAGAACAAAACACTGTAGCAAAGCCTCAGCACCTTTGGTAATACCCTCACCTCTTGGGCACAGCTGTGAGCCCAATACACAGAGCTCCCAGGACCTCCCCAGCCCCAACCCCACACTTACGCATGCACACCATCAGCTCTTTTCTGATGTCCCTAAGTCACACAAATAACCCCTCCTCACAGATATGAGAACCCACAGACTTTTTGCATCAGCCCTCACAGGGTTGACAGCTTACATGGTCCCACAGCTCTGGTAAAATCCATAAAAATCAGCATAGTGTTAAGAACAATTTTAGGTACTATAAGGCACATTTCAGATTTTCATTAAGATGAAATTGAGACTTGCATTAAAAACAAAAACATCAGACCGGATCGAGACTTGAGCACCACTGAGGTGACGCATCTCCCCTGTTCCCTCTTTAGCCTGACAACACCTTTCCTAGAGAGACATTTACTACCAGCAATACGACTCAGAGCAAAGTTCGCCTTAACAGATCACCAGAAAAACCCCAAAACTTCCCTATCAACTTAGATAAGAAAGGTCACCTGCCCTTATAAACCATCATATCCATTCCTTATCTGAATTCCATACGTCATTGGGTTGAACTTGCATGTTCTATTTTTTCCTATGCAGAGTTGCAATTCACAAACAGGCAAACCAGAAAAACACAGCACGAGGGCACTGTTTCTGGTTAACACCAGCACCATCTGGCTGCTGCTATCCACAAGCCAGAAAGATGCCCTGCTGAGAACCCAGCAACAGGAGCGACGTGTTTCTGACTTGTATGCTTTCATCTTGACACCTCTGTCAGGTCAGGATTCCCTGCAAACTGCAGCCTCAGATTTGCCTTTTGAGCAAGATCTGTTGGAGGGGTTTCCCAAGGAAGCACCCCAGCACATACCTGACCCTTGTGATGTTCATGTTCACAAGCTCTTGAAGGACACAGACACGTGTCAGACACTGTGATCACAACAGTAATTTTAGAGCATTACTGGAAACTAAGACCCATCTCAAATCAGTTCTGCTCTGTTCTTGCAGTAAGGCAGCAGTCCATCGAAAAGCATTCATTCCTGGGTCTACAGGGTTCATACTGGCATCAATTGCAATACTCTATGAAAACTAACTTCCTAGGCATTCTGCCAATGCAAATGTGTTCTAGAGTACAAGATTAAAGAAATAAAATAGCTGTTCTACTGAAGAATCCCATTTGTACTCACTATGGAAATCACTTGTGCCTGTCTTGACTTTGCCAGAGTCTCAAAAATTTCTGCAATAGTGACAAGTAGCATCTCTGAACAGTGATAATTCTAAAAAAAATAGAGACTTCTCTTCTCTGCAGCACCTTATGCAAAAGCAGACCCATGGCAGCCAATACAAACGACAAAACAAGCCCACACCCCTGAAATCCCATAGTGAGGGCAAGCCTGACTGCGCTCCAGCAGCAAATAATCTCTTAGCCATGAGCACTCGAACAGCATCGCACCCGATTAAAAATCACTTGCCTGTCAGCTCCTGCTGCCTGAAGGAAGCTGTGAGCCCTTACTGTGCCAATCTCTTAGTCTCTAAGAACACAGTAGACTTGCAGTTCATAATTGAAAAGCCACAGCAGAAACATTCCCCCAAACACAACAAGATGTACTGTACAAAAATACAGATTTGTCAACAGACAACACTCTCGAGAGGAGACCATTAACATCAGCAAGCAATTCTGCACAACAATGCTTCCCTGATCAACACAGCCTCATGTGGCTCATTACAAAATCCTCTCCATACACTGCAAAGTTCCTTGGAAGTCCACGTTCCAAATGCCAGCACTGAGAGAGCAGAACAGTTGCATAAACTTTAAGAGACATTTTATAACTTAGCCCCATCTCCATCCAGCTGAATACATCAGATGTGTGCTGTGGCAGAAATAAACCCACCCCCTCAGCACAGACAAGCAAGCGACCATCCTGAGGAACTTGAGCATCACCACGGGCAGCACTGGAGTCTGAGCCACGTCCTCTATTGCAGGGCTGAACAGTAATAACCCGCTCAGTTTTGCCTGAGTAAGCAGTCATGCAGTAGCAGATGTTGTCGACATTGGTGCCAGATTGCGTGAGCGATACGTAGGTGATCATTTACCTAAGTGCAGTCCTCTCCAATTTAAAAGGCAATTTCAATTGTAAAAACCATGAAGTAACCAAACACTGTTATACTTCGAAAGCAGCTGTTGGCTCAGAGGAACGGGGTTAGACCACAATGCTTAAAGCGCACGCCTCAGCAGAATCCAGAAAGACCACATTCAGAAACTGAGCAAAAAGTAAGGCACAGGATTTAGAATTAAGAAGCAACTTCAGAACGTCTCTGCTCACGGGGAAAAGTGAGACTTGGTGAAAGCTCTTCCTCGGCTCTTCCCTACCCCAGGTTTTAATAAAAATAAGCAGCGTGCTTTTCAGACCTGAAGGCAGACGGGAAAAGTTACCTCTCTGCAGCTGTCCCTGCCTGCCCGCCGCTGAGAGCCGCCGTTCCGTTACCATGTCAGCATGGAGAGCTGGGGACCAGAGTGATCTGCAAGAGAACACAACACGGATTTCCACAGCTGTGCTGAAGGCCAGATATTTATGCCGCTGGGAGAACTGGGACAGATCCAGCGACGTCTCTGAAATTTAAACACACACTCCCTCTGCTGCGCGCTGCAGCCACTTGCTGGGGTGAGTTTCTCTCAGCCACTGTGTTGCCTTCCCCTTGTGCTGGCCACATTTGCAGCTCCATTATCCCCAATTTTTGTGACTGTGTGCAAAGTTGATGTTAAAACATAGAGCTCATTGAAAAAATCTGCTACGGCCATGAGGTGGTTTGCTTTCTTGACCTCCTTGGGAGGCTGCATGAGAGTTACTGCAACTTTAATGAACCTCTCCGGTTCTTGAAACTTAAGGATTTACCAGAGTTCACCCCTCTTGGTTTTCCTGATAGTGTTGCAAATAACTGCAGGCACAGGAGAGCAGTCAGAGACCACTGCTGGGGGAAAAGAAAAAAAAGTCTTGAAGACTTTGAACGAGAGGACTTACAGAAAATATGCTCTATTTTTAGACAGTTATGCAGACTAACTGGACTAACACTAAACAAAGATGCTGTGAACATGATGCTACTTGAACCCACGTACCCTCCCTGACATTGCACAGGCTTAGCTGCTCCTCCCACCCTGATGGAAAAGCCCCGTTCTGCAGCACTGCCCCTTCCAACAGCAGCAGGCTCCTGAGGCAGCCCAGCACTGATCCCACACCTGCAAACTGCAGCCTCTCCTGCACCTACCTCCCAGCTCCAACAGGCGCCAGGAGTTACAGATACTCATGACGACGCCAAGGAAGAAGCAAATCTGTCCCAAAAGCCAAAGCAACAATTTGTTGTGCTCTCGGAGAGGCTTACAGGGTGGGCATGGAGCAGGCTGATCAGCACCAGGCACATCCAGGGGAGGGCACAAGCCTGGAGAATAATCCCCGTCCTTTGGAGCAGAGCGTCAGTCCCAACACAATCTCTCTTCCTAGCAGTAATATAAAAGTACAGATAATACAAAGATCAGCCCCTCCAAAGCAAGCGATCACCTCTGCTCTGCAGGGAGAGGCTGTGGCACAGTGGTGCTGCACACATGCAGATGTCACCAAGGGGAGGGCACAGGTCCTGCAGCCAGCCCTCTGCTCCAGCAGGGCAGTCAAGCACCCACCACAGCTCCACGGTCATAGCAGAGTGCTGTGGCTGCAGCAGGCTTCAAATCTCACCCCAAAAACAGAAGGTGGTTTTTCCCACCAAACATAAAGACAATGTTCTTCATTAACTTCCTGATGAGGAAAGGTAATAAAGTTATTACATCCCCACTGGCACATCAGGAGCTGGCTTACTTCGTTTCCACCAGCAGTAAAACCCATCCCCAACTCGGTAACAAAGTTGACAGTGTTAACCAACATATGAATCATGTACAGAGTGCACAAATCACACCCTGGGCTTGCCCCCAGCACAGGGCAGAGCGCTCACTGCTGCTGCCAGAGATCTGAGCACTAAGACTAAATCACCAGCTCACCTTGTGCAGCTGGCAGGCAAGTGCCAGGGCATGCCCAGCACAGCGTGCACAATGCACTGCTTGCACCAGCTCAGCAGGGTGCAGAGGGAGCTGCCAGCACATCAATCCTGAAAGCTTCCTCCTGCAGTTTTGGATGATAAGTCATAAGGAAAACTCACACCCGACATGTTTGTGTCAGCCAGGGAAAAGGATTCTCCTGAAGGCAGCAAGGAGTTTACACAGTGAGACTTCTGAGACCAAAAACTAGAAGTACAACATGGGCTGATGTACGAGGGTGACCAACTTGCACCTTCAGTCCTCCTGCACTGTAAATCTTCAGCCCCTCACACAGGGCTGCCCTAGCAGAGTGAGCACGAGGCCTCCTGGCCCAGCTGCTGGAGGTAAGAAGGCCAAGGCTGCCTGGAAGGAGGAAACCACACTGGGTTTGAAGTTCCAAGACACAACGCAGCTGATGGCCAGCAGATGCTGTGAGCATCACTGCACAGGGTTGGTCTGCTCTCTGCTCCAAGCTGCATCTTCAGCCACTGAGCCTCTCTGTGCCCTGATTTCCCATCCAGGGGCACTACAGCACAACACTCCTACCTCGTAAATATTTTGTGAGGCCTAATTCATTGCCTTGTGTAAATAAGCTGGAGTCCCATAAACAAATCAGGCAGGTAAGCATTATCTGAGGTGGAGTCAGCACACAGAAACCTTTGAAAGTATAATAAGGCCAGGAGGCATTTTGACCACAAAAAAAAAGGAGAGGTCAAAACAGTTGGATGCAAAAGCAGGATCCTTGTTGCTTGTGATGACAGCCCTTGGAGGTGGCCAACAAAGAGGGAAAAAACACAACAGGTTGGAAATAAAAAACAAAAGAGGGAAGTGGGAGGTGAAAGAAAATCACATCTCGTTCAGAGGCCCTGCCTCCTACTTCTGCACAATGCTTTACCTTTCACCTGGGACTTTTTACAAGTGCTTCTCAAGCTCGTTAAAAGCTCCAGTCCACCCAGTCAGCAGAGCTGGTGCCACCACAGGGCAGAGCCCCCCTGGGGGAGGGTGCAGCCCAGCAGGGACTGCTTGGTCTACAGCCAGTGTGGATAAAGGTGGCAGCCCTTTACGCCATCACTGCAGAAAATCACAGGGAGTGGCAGCAAGGATGGGACCCCTGCTTCCCTACCACAGAGGCCAACAAAGCTGCCTGGGGGAGCCCCTGGGGAAGGACATCCACAGAATCACCAAGGTTGGAAAAGACCTTCAAGATGATCCAGTCCAACCATCCACCCATCACCAACACTAAACCACATCCCTCAACTCAAAATCCAAACGTTCCTCGATCCCCATCCTTTTGCTTCTCCTTCCTGCCCACATCCCAGCAGAGCACCTCAAGGGTCCCCTGAAGCCACACATCTTTGGGGACACGCCTGTCCCTGACCCCCAGCCTGGCCATCTCCCCATTGCAAAGAGCACCTGCACCCTCATTAACCCACTGTCCCCACCTCCAAAGAGCCCCTCATCCCTCAGGAAGCCCTCAGCAAGCCGTCCCAGCCCCTCACGTAGCTCTCAGGATCCCCCCCCGCGCACCCTCCCCTCCCACGACAGCCCCGCTCCCCCCGCCACCCTACAGCCCCCCACCCCCACGTGCTCACAGCACCCCACACCAAATCCCTACGCCCCTCCGTGCTGCTCCCGCCCCGTGTCCCCTCGCGACCCCCGCCCTGTCCTCACCTCCCGTGACGGCCCCGCTCCCGTCCCGCAGCTCCACCGCCGCCGCTGCCCCCCGCAGCCTCACGTCACCGCGCCCGCCCTGACGCCACCGCATTCCCAGCGCCCCGCAGCCAATCGGAGCAGCCCGGAAGTGAGTACCGCGTCACCACGGCAACGGCCCAAGCTCGCCCCGCCTCCTCTCTGTCGCACGGCGCCCCCTGGCGGGCTCAGGACCCGCGTACCCTCGCGTGAAAGGCGCGGGGTATCATGGGAAATGTAGGAGCTGCCCGCGGGCGCGCTAAGTAAAGAGGGGGGGTGGAGGCACAAAATGGCGCCGGGGGGTGGGGGCGCCTGGCCTGGAGAGCTATGGGGCTTCCCCTCCGCTCCCCAGCACCTCCCTCTCGTTCTGCTCTTATACTGTGCTCAAAGTTCTTGGACTGGGCTGAGCTTACACCCTCATGCCTTGGGTAAACCACAGTGCTGGCTGATGGAATCAGTGGTGGTATGTTTTAAAGCACAAGCCTCATTCGTGCTGTGGTTGATGATGCCCCTCATTAATGAGATGTAACCACAATTAAGAACAAGCCTGGCACTGCTTTCAGGGAGTTACAGAGAGCTACACTATCTCTCCTGAGCTTCTTCCAGACTAAATCCCAGTTCCCTCAGCCACTAGTCGTTAGATTTGTGCTCCAGACCCTTCACAGCCTTGCCCTTCTCTGGATGTGCTCCAGGGCTTTGATGTCTTTCTTGCAGTGAGGACCTCCTTGCAACCTTTCTGCAGGAGTTTATTCTTAGGGTGAGGTGCTGGTGCGCATCCCAGCACTGCACGCCCGCTGCTGACTCAGGCAGGTTGCTGCTCCTGAAGGATGGGACAGGCCTGGCTGCTCGCAGCTTGGCAGCTGACCAAAGGCAGTGCTGACAATGGAGCCTGACGTTCCTTCCACGCCTGTTCTCATAGCATTAATTCTGGTGCACAGGAACTAGGCTGTTCAGAGCAGAAGCTACATTCTGATGAGTTGCTTTTAAAGAAAGTTGGTGCAACCCTAGAGCTGCTGAGAGGTGATGGCACGGTCACCCCCGCATGCCTCCTAGGGTCATAGAGCCCTTCTGACAAAGCTGAGGTTGTGTGGAGGTGGCTCTTTTCCTCCTGGCATAGGTGTGGCATGGCACCAATCCTAACACCGCTCAGGGAAAAGGTTGAGCTAATGGGCTGATGAAGGATGGTGCTGCCTCCCATCAGCACATTTCCACCCAGCCCATTTCCTTCCCGCACGCTCCTGGTTCCTCCCTCTGCCTGAGGGTCTCATAGGGCTGCAACTGCTGTGCTGGGGTCACCTGGGGAGCTGCAGGGATCAGTGCCACACTTCGATGCAAGAAATGGCACACTGTCATATCAGAGCCAGGCAGAGACTCCAGGTCTGCCTGGAGACTGTGTAGGGCTGTCACGACCATACAGCACTGCTCAATATCCCGCAGTACCCAGCACAGTGAGGAGGAGGAGGAAAGGTGACACATTTGAGCTGCCACAGCCCCTGGCTGGCAGGACGGGTCCCCGAGGCCGTCATCACGAAGGCTGCAGCCACCCGTGCCCCCTCTGAGCTGCGTGGGACTGGGGCAAGGGGCTACTGGGCACCCCCACAGACACACAGAGCTGCTTTGTACAGGGGCAGCCACGTCATGCACATGGGCCTGCAAACACAGCCTCTCTGTGAGAATAACCGTAAGAAAAGAGCACTGTAAAAACCAGGGGGAGGAAGAGCTCTGTGAGGAACCGCTCAAAGCCATGCCAGTAGGAAATAGATTGCAATCTCCTTAACGAACTGCAGTTAAACTGCATCATGAGCTACTGTGAACCTGGGTTTGGTGCAGGGCTTGCAAATGATGTGTTTTCAGAAGGGGCCCCTCTGAAACAATGAAGTGTCCAAAGTCAGAAATAGGACTGTATTTAACAGAGGGGCTTGAAAAAATGAAACTCCATGTTTGTGGGGTTTTTGTGTGCAAGGAGGTTGGCCAGGAGACTTTCGGCTTTTGTTCTCGTCTTTTAGGGAACAAATTAATTGAAGGAGGCAGACCAGGCTGATGCCACTGAAGGGAGCTGACACAGCCACCTACTGCCATGGCAGAGCCCAGCCCTGCTGCCTTGGGAATTCTTTCTACTGCCTTCTGCAGGCTTTGGATTGAACCTGAAATGGGACTCTGAAAAGGGTCTCCTGCAATTCAAGGGTGAGGACATTAGCCCAGAGCACCGTTCCCTTCCTATAAATTAATTATAAGGAGGTGCTGGCACTCCCTGAGGATACCCATTGCAATTCATCATCTACAGACACTTCTCTGTTCCTCTTGGCCCTCCTAGACCAAACCACACTCCACTGGGTCAGTATTCATTGGTTGGGCTCTTTTCTATGCTGGGAATCCAAACCGTGCACTGCACACGAAGCAAATCAGGTTCCTGCAGGGCCACAGATATGCAGGGAATAAGGTTTATGGGCCAGTGGCTCCAAAAGCTTTATTACTTCTTAGTTTATATTGACATCTATGTGACTCCAGTGACTTAACAACCACTTTCAGGGAATGCACGTGTAGTTAAGGACATATTGGTCCACCTGGTCATTGCCAAAAGTGCCCTTTGTGTAGGGGTAGTGAGAAGGCACTGCTCAGTCTCTAAAGCTGCCCTGGAGGCCCCTTTTGAGGACAACGTGTCCAAAGGCACAGTGGATGATGCTGCTGGCACAGCCAGTAGAAACCACGGGGGAATGGCAGTCCTGGGCCACACAGTCCAGACCCACTGGTGGCATCTTCAGGCAGTGTTGAAACCAGTGTCTGGTGTGCAGGGAGGTGAATCCAGACCACACACCTGGGCAGCCCAGAGGAGGAAATGGCCCTGCTGTGTTCTCCCAAAGTTGGGCTGAGTTCTTGGCAGTTGTGGCTGCAGCATGGAGCATCTCTGCTCTACATGTAGTCAGTCACCTATGGGCTTGTTGCTGGTCTCTGCTGATCTCCAACCCGAGATGACCATGCTGACCAGGCCTGCTGGGCTCTGCCATCCTGCTACTGGTTGGAGGGCTCTGTGGCCATGGTGTCTGCATCTGAAGATGGCAGTGGGCTGCTGCTCCCGCCATTGCTCACGTTCTCTTTGCTGCTTTCCCTCATGGGGTCACTGCCTTTATCCTCTACTTTCTGCTTGAGTTTGAGGGAGGAATCTCTCCGGCACATGAGGGGTGGGTAGCCAGCAAAGCCTCCTCCACTCATGTTTGTACGTTTGTCTGGAAACAGATTAAAAAAAAAAAAATTGTCTGTCTTCTCCGAGTGTCCCAAAGAAGAGGACAGGGCAGGAGAACCAGCAGCAGCACTGAGCTGCGTGCCGTGGGGAAGGTCTCCTACCTCCTGGCTCGATGGGGTGCATCAGGCGGTTCATCTGCACGTTCCAGTGCTTGACGTTGGTGCTGGCCTGCCTCAGCTTCCGCTGGGCTGCCTGCAAAGAGACAGAGCAGAGTGACCCAGGACCACTGGCAGGAGTTTTCTCCTCCCTGAACCTGGGCTGGAGGCTCTCTCTAGGATGGAGGCAGCACACCCTCCTTTGGTCTTCCGCTCCTCCTGCTCCCAGCCCTCCCTGCTCCACACGTTCCCAGGCCTGACATTGCTGCCCTCTCAGGGACACGCCAAGAGCCAACAAATCACCCTATGGCACAGCTCAGAAAATCCCAGAGCTGTGCAGTGAGAAAATGCCAGCATTTTCTACAGCACCCACCCCATCAGCAGACTTCTCAAAATAGCATCTGCCAGTGCAGCAAAATGGGGGCAGAGCGGCCACAGCCTCTTCCCTGCTTCAGTGGCTTTACGAGATGATCACCAGCCTGGCACAGCTCTGCAAACCTTCAGGAGAAAACCTTAGATCTCCTCTCCCTGCTGCAGCTGATGTAACCCTGAAACCCAGCCTGGCTGCAGCAGGTTGCATGACAGCAGGTCCCCAGGTTCTCTCCAGCATGGAGGTGACTCAGGGGAGGCCTGGAAAGTCCCTTGGGTCTTTCAGTGTGATAGGAAGAGGCACTAGGGTGATGCTCACCATGACGTCTTGGTCCACCCGCTGCCTGTTCACTCTCACTTCTTCCAGCTGCTTCTGGGCCTCTTCCAAACACTTGTTCTTGTTCTCCATCTCCTGCTTGAGGACTTGCTTCTCCAGCTGAGTTTTGATGATGTATTCCTCCTGCTCCTCCTTCAGTTTCATCAGCTGCTTCAGTTTCTCCTCTTCCTCGGCCAGTAGCCTGCCAAGAAAGTGCACAAGGTGAAAACATCCCTCTGCCACTTCATCCATCAGCTCCCCACATTCCTGGCATCAGAAGCACGCTGGCTCCCCAGGGAGCAATTGAGGACAGCTGAATCACCCTGGGGAGCATCTCTGGCAGCCCTGCCCCTGGGAGGAGGGTCGGTGGAAAAGATGCAGGGAGGCTCTGCTCCTACCTGGCCTGTGCATATCTCACGGACTCCTCGTCGTGCCGTGCTTTCACCTCCTGTTGCAGGGCCTCCTGGAGCCGCTCCTGCATCTCCTCCAGCTCCATGATGCGCTTACGCTGACGCTCAGCCTCCTCTTCCTTCAGGACCATCTCTGCCTGCATGGAGGCACGTGCCTGTGGCCAGGAGAGGAGCTGTCAGGGTGGCTGGGGCCTGATGTGCCACATGCCATGAGGAGCCTATGGGGAGAGCTTCAGGGCAAGGCTGTTTCCCTCCTTAGAGGAATGCTTCTTGAGGAGCCAGCATCAGCTGC